CATATGTAGTCTACAAGAAGGTCTAAAGCGTTTTTTATGGTGTTTTTTTTTGTGAGAGATAATACTTGCACAGACTGAGCCAACTGAGCCAACAGTTAGATACAAAGATCCTATGGAAAAATGCCAAAAATACGTTTTGTTAAAGTCTTAAGAGGCTAATGATGACAGCTATTTTTCATTCTGGTCTTCATTCTAGAAGTCCACAAGTTTGCTTTGACTGATGAACTCATTTATATGCAGAGAATACTGTAATCTACTTCTCCAGTCCTTATCTTACACAACTTAAATATTCATTACAATCAGATTTGAATCTAGTCCAAAAGTGGGTTTGTGCAAATAAACATTCTCTGAATGAGAATAAATCATATTCTATGTTGTTTTGCACTTGACCAAATTCAATGTCTTTAAAAAACAGGTGATATGTTCATTTTCTAGATGGAACATCGTTGCAAAAAGTTGACAAATTAAAATATCTGGAGTTTTTGGTTTGACTCATAGCTTTTAAAACTCACATTGATTCTATATATAAGAAAACATGCCGTGACTTAGAGTAACTTAAATCATTCTGTAGAACATTTTTCTCTTTTCGCTGAGTCCTTTAACTGGTTAGCCATTAAGCCACAAGAAAATGTCAGTGGGTGTTATTTACTTAGAAATGGATCTATTCCAATTTACCTCAAATATTCAGTATTTGTATTTATTGTCTTACTTGTCTCTTGGTGTGAATGTGAGTGTGGGTGAGTGTTATTAGTATGGTGTGGGAGTTTCTGCATTTAATTGTCTTGTATTCTATTTTGGAGTTACTAATGATGACTTTTGTTACTTTTGTGTACATTTGCTTTGTATGGAACCCATCAAAAAATGAGCTGGAACATCCTAAAAGACGTTGAGCCACCAGCAGCGTAGGACAGGAGGAATCTGACCCAGAGCCAGTCAGAAGGGTTTATGTGCAGGGGAGTGTGGATGTGAGTGGAAGCAGATGAGGGTAATGAGCCAGGACACGAGAGTGGAGCTGGTGAGGAGAACCCAGAAAGATCTAAGTGCAGTGAAGGTGGTGGAGAAAACGGACGATACAGGAAACTTGCAGGGGCACCAGAATAAAACCCAGGAAAAGAAACAGAACTAAGACACCCATCCATCCATTATCAATACCGCTTATTCCCTGATGGGGTCGCAGGGGGAACTGGAGCCTATCCCAGTGGTCAACGGGCGAGAGGCAGGACTGGACAGTCCGCCAGTCCATCACAGGACATACAAGGACCACTCACACTTACATTCACTCCTAAGGGCAATTTCCCCAATCTCCAATCAACCTAACATGCAGGTTTTTGGACTGTGGGAGGAAGCCGGAGAACCCGGAGAGAACCCACGCAGACACAGGGAGAACATGCAAACTCCACCCAGAAAGGTCCTGGTTCCCCCGGGATTCGAACCCAGAACCCTCTTGCTGGGAGGCGACAGTGCTAACCACCACACCACCGTGCCGCCCCTAGAACTAAGACACATTAAACACAAGAAACAACAAAAGAAAAAAAGAAAAGAATACGACATCATGGGTAATCAGAATCAACCAGTCTGGGACTGACTGAATTTGATGCTTGCATCCGTTGTGCTATGTCTTGGTATACTTTGGGGAAAAGGTTCCCTGGTTCTGGTGACATTTATCGACTGGTCTCTGTCATGTTGCTCTTCATCTGTCTCCGTGGGTGACATTCATTTGGAGGGGTGATTTTTCAGTCATCCGTGAAACACACACACACACGCACACACACACATAGACATACACCGTCAAATCACACATAATTCCGTAGATCTGGCATAAAAGTTGCAGTAGCTGTGTGTGTGCTGTGTGCGGATCTTCAGACATATACTTTACAGGACTGTAGGGAATGTAGGAAAGTAGGGAATGTTGACTCATGCTGTGACAACGTTCCACCAGAGGCCTGTACCCATTTAGACTCGGTCTCTGTGAGAGCACAATCCTCTTTGTGTGCATGGCAACTCTCTTTACTCCGCTTTCTAAAAGAAGAAAGGGGGTCAGTCTCTTTTCTACATAGGTTACCTTCAACCTGTGCACCATCCTTCTGGTTTATACCATTTGTTTAAATTCACAACAGTTTGAAAATACTTGAAAATACCTTAATTAAATAGCTGTAGCTGCAAATCAGACAGGATGTGTGCATCGACTCGTTTAGTGACTCACAAAAACCCTGACCTAAGCGTGTTTCTCACAGTGACTGGGTTCTGGTCAGTGAGAGGGATCCCATGCTGTTGACTGGACTTTCAAAAAACAATTACAGCATCAGCATCCTCGTGCTGCTGGGAAAATGGCAGACAGACAGAGTCCGTGGGATTTCTTTCATTCTCAGACACCTTGTCCTACTTCCTTGTTTTAATGGACATTTAAGTGTTGACATTCCTGCTGGACCTGCTTCGACATTCCTCCCTTTTAGTATTAAGCCCGGGAGGTTTTAGTGTTTGTCGAGCTGCAGATCCCCCCCCCCCCCCCATTCTCTCTCTACTATCAATTCCATTAACAGGAGCCTGAAGCGTTCTCCTAGCATGTAGCTCCATTTTGTGACAGGAGGCCTTTATGTTGTTACTTTATGGCAACCTGATGTATTATTGCACCACACCGCTAATAGAGCTCGCTCTCCATTCTAGTCCCAAGCTTTGCCTTGCTTTCCAATTCATCTTTTGGAGAGTTTTTCTGTTGACAAACCTTTACGGCCATGCTGATATCATCACATTTTTGTTTTCCTCCCCTTCTCCCAGGTCACCGCTTAGAGGAAAATGAATAATACAGCACAATAGATTGGATGGATGCTCTGCAGTCAACCTGAGACCAATTTGCCCTAACATGACTCGGCTTGTGCTCTTCTAAAAATGATCTGCCAGCATGCGTTTGCTTTCCTGTTTTCTTCTTCTAATGTCAATTATACATCGTCGTGAAGCAAGCCAGAGGAGTTACGTAGTTTGTCAAGTTTAAATTTAGTTGGCAAAAAGGGAGCAAGAATGGAACATCAGGCATCCTTTCTGTATCTTCTTGTCATATTCAAGTCAGTAGGTGTTGTGTTGGCTTGTATATTCAAATTCAATGGACAGGCATAGGTTAGTACCTATGACATGAATATGACTCTTGGGTCCTGGGCTTTATGCCTCCCACAAGCATTGCACTGCTCTGTGCGCAAGGAATTTAAAATATTTTGTGCATAAGTCAGTAAAATTGGTTTTGGTGGATGGGCTCACATATTTCGAGTCAATCTTAAAGGAATAGTTTTATATGCATATACTGCAGTAATATTTTAGAAGTAATCTCCCATTGATGGGTTTCCGCTGTAATCAATGAGATGTTCTCTGTTGGGGATAAGGCTCTGCAGATGGTCGTACAAAGGGTCTGTAGCAGGGGTGGGTAACTACAGGCCTAAAGGGTTGCTGTCCTGCATGTTTGAGAGGTTTCCCTGCTTCTACACAGTGGATTAAGATAAAACTAATCAAGTAGATTATACTTGTCTGCAATGAATAAATTGTCTCTCAGACTCTCATCTTCAGTAAGAATGCATTTGCATATTTGTTATGAAATGTAAGCATGCTACTTATGAAAGGAAGATATTGTCTGTGTTGTCAACTGGTGAAGCTGTGAAGGTTCTATAATACTTGATAGTGTTTACATGTGACTAGCATTTTTTTTATTTAAAATGCAAATGTTTAAAATGTATATCTTTTTAAAATTTGATCAATAACAGCAGTTATAAAGTTTTAAGGCAAATCTAGTTGATCTATTATTTGTTTCTGTAATTCCTTAAAAAATGACTGTATAAGTGAGGGTTAATAATTGTATTTTGTGACATACAGAAGGCTAAAATGAGCAAATCTCCTGCTTTTAAAACATTAATTTACATGTGTCATAAGAACAAGCCCTTGGTATGCAAGAAAATCACTGCAATGGGAAAATTCAATGAAGTCTTACATGACAAAACTTGGAAAAATGATGCAATGTAATGAATAAGTGCTGTTTCACTTTTCTCAGTTCACTTAAACAGTCTAAGATCAACCAAGTGCAAATCAACTCTGCTTGATCTCTGAAGGGAGAAAGTATTACTGCTGTAGACACAATCATTCAAGTTACCAAAAGTTCAGAAAGGGTGTGGCAGAGAGATGCTCTTCTTAGATGACCATGAAAGGTTTGGCAACCACTTATCCCAGCAGTCAATGGGCGAGAGGCGGGGTCACCCTGGACAGGGCCACACAGAGACACACAAGGACCAACAACCACACATACTCACGCTCACTCCTAAGGGCAATTTTGGAATGTCCAATTAACCTAAAATGCAGGTTTTTGGACTGTGGGAGGAAGCCGGATAACCCGGAGAGAACCTACGCAGATACAGGGAGAACATGCAAGCTCCACACAGAAAGGTCCTGGTTCCCCCGGGACTCGAACCCAGAACCTTATTGCTACCTTAGGCGATGGTGCTAACCACCTTGTTCCTACACTCTTCTCTTTCAAACATATGTTAGGTTCCTGATGCATCCTTTTCAGTGTTCTAACCCTGTCCATTTCGTCCACGTGAAAAATCCTTACACGTGTCATGACATTCATGGAAAGAAATTATTTAAACTTCCCCATCCTCTCTCTGCTGCTCGTCCTTGCTCTGCATCATATCTTCCTCAGCCTGCTGGGCATTGAGATCTTATTCAGGCTTTTGGAAACAGTTCAATGCTGCAATGTGGAAACAATGATGATAGATCTAAAAAGAAATATTCATTTTCCCCTCATAAATCGTTCAAGTTTCAATGCATTCAACAACAAAGAACACTTTAAACAAAAACGTTCACACAGCAAAAAGGTAATTTTCTAAGCTAAACATTTGTTTTAAGAAACAAATCTGCTCGTTTGGTTTAACATGTATACCCTGACATGTAAAACCTTTAGACACCTGTATTTTTTAGATGATTTTAGTACGACATGCAAAGAGCTCTGATCAAAGCTTTTAATGTGAAGCGTTACTACTTCCGGCGGAAGTGCCGGATGCAGCTTAAGACTGCCGGTTGGCATCGCTAGCTAAACTTTCACTTTAGTGTAAATCTCTTTCATCATGGCGACGTTTTTTGGTGAAGTATTGTCAGTTTACTCTCGGGCTGTGGAGGAAGACGACGATGACATTGAGGAAGACGAAGAAGATGAACAAATACGCCGCGAACTTGAGGAAAAGAGGTAAGTGACGTTAGCTGTGTAGCGTGAAGGAAACATGGGACAGAGCATAAATGCGTTTCGTTATATAAAATAAGAATCTCCGATAAAGTTGTAACTAGGATGGGAATGTGCATGCGGGCCTTATCCCCGTGTGTGCGTCACTATTAAAACAGCTAGAGACGTCTTTGGGCAAAAGCCGCTAACTTAGCTAACGTGACACATGAAAATCCATTGAACGCCCCCCTCCCGGAGCGGAGGCAGCACCTGAACGTCACAGACGCGTTCAGGGCCGGCGACACGTTTTATGATGTGCTGCAGTCAACTCGGATTTGTTTAGAGGTTTGCTTTGTCCGAGTGTACAACAACACATGGTGCAAAATCTACCAAAAGTCTACAATTAAATCTGGAGAAATTGGAAGAGTGAGATGTTGTGTATAAAACTGCTGAATGAAAGTGAAAGAAACAGCACTTATTAACATAACATTCTTAGAATTAATAATTTGACACCCTATTTTCAGACCTGAGAATCACCCCTGATAAATGCTATGTTGGAAAATTAAGGCTTACTTAAAGTCTTATATGGCTTAAAAAAAAGAAAAGAAAAGAAAAATTGCTTTAGGTACATGTTTTGGTCCTTCTAATTTCAGAAGGACCGATCCAGTACCATCAGGGCTATGTTGCTGATCTGTTGGAGATCCATTTAAAACATTTCTTCTTCTAATTGATAATATATTTTTGCACCTTTTGATGCTGTTTCATTGTCACAAGCGAGTGACGCGTTTATGTTATTTATTCATCATCCATCCCATTTATTTTGTAAGCGTGGGTTGCCGATGCCCGTCAACAAAACCACTCCAGAGGTTCAACAGCACTAGAAGCTGTGGCGCAAACGCAAACCAGTCACGACGGCTTTGATAAAGGAGTCTGACAAACAAGTCCTGGGTTCGTGTTGATGTGGTCTCATGAAGCACACAAAGACGGTGTTGATCGTGTAGTCTGAAGAAAAAAACAAAACTGTGTGGTTTATTTCCCGTTTCAACAGGGAGGTTCAGCTGCAGTGGGGCCCCGAAATCTCCCAGTCGCTAAGTTCTGGCAATAAGCTGCAGTGTTCAGAGTTCATCATCGGCGTGGGACACAATGCTTCCAGTGAGTAGCGGCTTGGAACATATTAAAATCCATCTGCTGGAAGTTCATCTCTTAGACTTTTGAAGCTTCTGGAGTCACATGAGCAGCTGTTAACCACCTCAGGTCTCCATAGAAGTCCTTTCAAAAGCAGATCATGTCCTGATCTTACTGCTGTGTTCTTAATCACTGGTTTTATTTAAATTCTGCCTGTTACATGGGCTCCAGACAACTGTTCTGAATTCCTAAGCAGATCAGAATTCACTGAAACAGAGCTGAGCTGAGGACGGCTGTGGTGTGATGCGGGCTGTTGTCTTCGCAGGCTTCCTGTCGGCGTACGTTCTCGCCTCGGCGGGCTGGGCGGCGGTTGGACGGGCGACGGCGTGGAACGAGAGGAGCCGAGCTGTTACTGGGCAAAGCGGCGAGGACTCAGCATGTGTTTTCCACCGACACAAGGACACGCCATCAGTGAGACGCACACTGTGGGAAAACATCCCACATTAGGCCTGTTTTTGCTTAACGCCTCGGAGAGCACGTGACCCGAGAGATGAGTGGGCTCCTCATCCTCTTTTTTTTCTCCCATCGCTTTCGAGTGCCATTTGAGTTGTTTACACATTTCTCTTAAAAGCATGTTTAATTGCATCGCATGAGGATCATTTTAATGCAATTAAGCTGATTCAGAAGAGTTATTACTGCAGCACACTTCACGGATAGAGAATAAAACTTTAATTCAGTTTCAGAAGTTGGACAGAAAGCCATTACACGCTGGAAAAATGACCTCTGGTAATCTGGTGACTGTTGCATTTGCTGTCAGAAAGCAGAGTTACAGCCGACCAGTCGGCGGCGCGTGGAGGTGTGTGTGTGGTTACTTTCTATTAGCCCGCTGTCATTTGCACATGATTTAATCAAGATAAATGCAGCCAGCGACGGCGGCTGTGAACGCGGCGCACCGCGGCGGAAGCTCCAGATTTATCACACACAAATGTTTCTTTTGATGGCGGCGTGGGCTTCAGCTGGACCAACGGGCCACGCCGCCATTACTGACTTATTATTTTAGATAGAAGTGATTTATTCACAATCCGGTTTCCAGCAGGCAACGTCTCTTTTCTTCTTGTTTTCTGTGGCACAAACCGGCTTCATAGGGGTAGAATGTGGCGTGTTTGAATGCACATGTGAACTAAAACGCCTCTCGTCCTGCAGGTCCTGATATGCACGGTGACCGGTCACATCGCTGAAGACCAGCAGTTCCAGTGGACGCAAAAGGTACCGCCCCATCAGCAGCAGCAGATGCTCATACCCCCCCCAAAAAAAACCCTGCTAACAGATTGCAGACATACAAGCGTGCACCCTCTTTTTTTCTCTCTCTCCTCCTCTTTCACTCACGAAGCACAACACCGTGGCAGCAGGAGGACTTAATTAAAACCTGCCAGCTCTCCGCCTGTTAAAGCAGAGCAGAGCACGGTGGAAACAATCTGATTACAAGCACAAATGTAAAAAGCTAGACGGCAGCACAAAGCATTTAAACACGATCGAGGGATTGATTTGCTTCAGGGCTCGAGTGAATGTTGGTGCAGCCCAGGTGGGTCTAAGGACCAGCAGCTTCTCTAAAACTGCTCACTTAAAATAGACTGTAGAGCAGGGGTATCAACCTCTGGCCCACGGGCCAAATCTGGCCCAAATTTGGTCCGCGAGACAATACCAAATGACTACGAGAGCTGGCCCCCGGTATTATACTTTACAGCGCATTAACCGTTCATACTACAACTCCCATAATGCCCTATTGTTGTTCAGGACAGGACCCAGAAACTCCTCTGTGACAGTAGGTACACACTACAGCTGTCACTGTGCTGCTTCCCAAAAATGACCAAAAGAAAAGCAGACAACAGGAGCTTTCTGGACAAGCTAATTTAATTCAGAAGGCTGCGAATAGAAAAATGTTTTAAAATTTCATTTAATAAATGAATGCCATTGACGTGTTTTTTTTATTTGAAATTTGATTTTGCATGTCTCCACTATTAAATTATATTTAATGTAATATTAGTTGCTTGTTCCATATTCAATGTTAAAGCAAAATTAGTTTTGTTCCATATTAACTCATTGGCTGCCAAAGACGTCTATAGACGTCTTTTATGTTTTTCAACGAGAGTGTCTGGGGGACGATCTGTTAAAGCTTGTCTGTAAATATCAGGCTTCTAGACAGAGTATGTAGTAACAAATTGACCCACAAGGTGGCAGTGCCAATTTTGATGGGAGCTGAGCATAGACTGTAGGCAAATAAGAAAAAGCTAACGGGTCTATGAGAGAACATGTCGCCGGTGAGACGCAATTCGAGGAAGAACGGAATAAGGTAGAAACACTTTTTTTCCTGATGAAAGAAGAGAGTCTACTCTTTCTTTTGGTGTGTTCAGTGTTTACATAGTCATAGCACAAACTATTCTGTGGCTCTTGAAAAATCGGTCAAAATGCTCCAAAAACTCTGGCAGTGTGGGACTCTCTGTTCTGAAAATAGCTGGCAGTCAATGAGTTAAAAGGTTAATTCGTTCAATCTTGGCCCGCGGCTTTGTTCAGGTTTAATATTTTGGCCCACAATGTTTTTAAAGTTTGACCCCCTTGCTGTAGAGGAATAGTAGGAAGAAGGCCAAAACGGGTTTTAACAGGCACAGGCTGCCTGTCCCTCAGAGGCCGGGCTCCCACATTAAGCAGCACGGTTAAACCACCGTGTCACCAGCGTGAGGAATCTTGTTTTTTGGCTGAGTTAATATGTGGAGGCGTTGTCGGTCTGACCAGGTGCTGGACAGCCTGCAGCAGCGGCAGCTGACGGTGACCGTGCTGGCCGACGGCTCGGTGGCCGACTACAAGACGGCCGACTACCTGAGCGGCGGCGCGGCGCCCTTCCTGCGCTGCCTGCGCTCGGGCGCCTTCAGCCCGCAGCCCGCCTGCCCCCCCCTGGAGCAGCCCAACATCCTCACGGGGCTCCCGGCTGCAGGTACACATCCCGCCAGCACTCTCTCGTTTCACGTCTTTTTAGGTGATTTGAGTTTGATTTAAGACCATCTCCATGCTGACCACGTCCTGAACGTACATTTAAACTGCTATGTCCTACAGAAAGCAAGGTTCTAAATTTAAAGCTGCTGTGGGCGATTGATTCCCAAAGCTAGACAGAGCTAGAGTTTTCAGCCACCCAGTCAAAAACTCCTGCCCCCTCCTCTCAGAACTCCTCCGAAGCCCTACCTTTTACAACGGGAATGTCTAAATCTGGTCCTCAGGGGCCGTTGGCTAGCTAGTTTTAGAAGCCTCCCTGCTTCAGCATAGCTGACTCTGATAGATCTTTTCAAAGAATTGTTAACCTTTGCACAACCGAGACAGCCAGAGGAGAAAGCAGCTATCTTTGCTCTAACACCAGAAATCGTGGGACATACAATTACCCACCAGCCCACATAGGACTCTTGAATAAGTCTGCAGGACGACGGGGAGTTAAATACGTCCGACTGTGTGCTGGCAGTAATGGCTGATAATTCATCCGGCCATGCAGCCGGCGTTAGTAAACGAGCCGTCTACCTCTGAGTGTGCAGCAGGCTGCTCCTTCGGCTGACTATCCCTCACCCCCCCCCACAGCGAGCCTCTCCCTGAGCCAGTCTGCAGCACTCCCCACAAGGTCAGGATTAGAGAGCAACGTTGGATCTGAAGGGGGCTTTTGACAGGCTGGATTCCTGGCTCAAGTGTCCTTGAGAAAGACAGAGGACCTCCCGTTTTCCCCGGTGTGTTTGCGTGGGGGGGGGGGGGGGTAGTATTCACTTTGGACTAATGCTTCTGCCGGCTGAATGAAATGTAGAGCCATTAGGCTCCACTCTGCTGCCCAAACACACGGCTCTGCATCCTGATTTGCTCCTCCCGGTGGCCGTACTGCTGAGGACACTCAGGCCGGACGAACGGATGCCTGACCAGGGAGAGGATCTCCGGTGCTGGCCGCCAGCTGACCGCACGGTTCTCGTGCTACGGGCTAACCTCCCTTTGTTCCTTGTGTGTCTCCATCAGTCCTGAACCACTGCCAGGTCCACCGCATCGCTGCTGTTGTTTACCAGTGCTACAGTGATGTCATCGGCCCAGACTCTGTCACCATGGAGACCTATAAGCCTGCTTTGTCCAAACTAGCCAAGTCCATCCAGGTGAGCAGCTTTTTCCATCTAAAGGGCTTTTGAAGAGGTCTCAACGGGGGAAAACGCACAACTCCTGTTTCTGACTGAATGTGGCTGCTTTTAGGGTTTTAGGACTACAAAATAAAGTAGTCATCTCCCGATTTGTGTGTTTGAAACCAGATAACGTTCACCGGGAAATAACCAGAGCTCATTCCAACCGGGATGAATCAGTGTTTTTTTTTGTTTTTTGCCACCATTTTCATTTCCGTTTGCCTTTGTCTCCTCAGCTGGACACGTCCCTGAAGACGGATGTCCTTCGCAAGTTGGTCCGAACCACCGAAATTCAGAGTAATCTGTATATCTGAATCCTCTGTGCAGTTACCCTGATTTTTGTTCAAATATCGTCTTTTTTTTTTTATGAATAAAGATGTTTAATAACATGCATTTTGTTCGTGTTTCAGTTATTCCGGGATTTGCTCTCTCTGGTCAGGTATTATGGGTTTTTTGAAAGGGATTGTAATTGGCATATACTTTTTTTCTTTTTAAGAATTTGCTAACATTTATGTAGATGAATTGACCTCCCACTGGATCCCATCTCGATCGATGCTTTTTGGATAAAGAAACAAAGATTGTTGCTTATTTCAGAATAAAATGAATTATTGCTGTCATGTCTAGGCCTTTCCAGTAAGTGGGTTGATCTAAAATCCAATGTAGACACTTTGAGCATTTTTTTAACTTTTTGGATAGTGCCACTAACTGATTTTTTATTTTCTTTGGCCTTAGTCTAAATCAGTACAGAACTGACTGGAATAATTGTCCTTGCACTAGTTTCCCAGCAGATTTTCAGGACGGGGCCTTTCTTCTGTCCTATATTCAGAAAACTCCATTCCTGATGAATGATATACTTTACAGACTCCATGCCACAGATTTGTAAATATGCTATATAAAATACACACTTCTAGACAATCACAAGAATGTTGTTTGTTGGCTCCTTAAATGTGTCTAGATTGAACTGCCATCTTCTGAGTCTTCACTACATGTAGATGTTTGTCATTAGCAGACGTTTTTATCCAGTGTTTTCAAAATGGTTCAGTCGGTTGAATGCGGATAGCTCCCACTTTTGTTTTAGAATGACTGGATAAGAGGACTGAGTAGGTTTGGTGGATAGAGGACTCAGACTATCCAGAGCCGGTGCCCATTAACGAACAGCACAATTGGGTGGCACCATTAACCTCAAGTGAGGAGACTGTGCTGGGGGATCGGGAGAGCAGAGAAGTGGCCGCGAGCCAGGTTGTGGCTGAAAGTGAGCATGAGAAGAGGAGCAGGGATTTGTTAGTTTGGTTCTGAGTGGAGCACATTGAATTGACTGAAAAAGTGGTGAGAAAAATGCAATGAAATGACTGTTGGTGTGTGTGTGGAACAGTTTCAGGTGAGCTAGAGGTCTTTATCAGCCCTGTGAGTGGTGAGACTGCAGAGCTACTATAATTCAAAGCAATACAGGACATTTAAAAAGCCTGCAGAGTTTGGAAGATCTCAGTGGACAAGCATGGGGCCGTCATGCTCAAGGATGCAGGGGAACACAGTTTCCAGTTTATCAAGAAAATCACCCGGTCGCCCTGGTGGGTAATATCTTACAACCATAAAGATTTAGCCAGTGCTGTCACCATGATTGTGGTGTGTTTGAAGTATTTCCAGGGTTTGGGAATTAGTGGGCCTGTCCCACTTTCATGTCCAGATGGATGTGAAGTGTGGGTGAATGTGAAAGTGGTGGAGAGAACATCTGGCGTGACGATGTTTTCTGGTTTGATCCACTTAGGTAGATGACATATTTACCAAAAAAAGCAAATAAAAAAGCACTTACCCTTTGAATCTTTCAAAAGTCCTCTGCAATTATCTAAGAAGCAGACGGACTCTGCTCATAAGCGGCCTACCGAAGCGTGACACAACCTGCTGTTTTTAATACCAGACATCTGTCATTTTAATTTCATTTAGGATGAACTGAATACGTACATTAAATACGTAAATCTATATGTAATTTATTCTGTCTTTTTTTTTTAATTAAGAGCCAATTAATAATCTATTATGTGATCAGCGTCCCTTCTCTGTGTTTTCATACGTCCTCCTCTCCAGATGGGGGCAGTAGAGAGCCGCGTGCCTCAAAAACCTCAAATTTTAAAAAAGTGAGCGAAACCTAAACAAACCTGTTGCCATTCACTTTTAGCATGTCTGTGTACAAGACATTTGCGCATAAACAGGGTTTATTATAACACAAAACGAGTCGGCCAAACTGTTACACGTATTCTTAGCTTTACTACTAACTCTTTACCTAGCTTAGCTAAGTGTTAGCATTAGTTCCTTTTAGCCTGGTCGATAAGAAGGCTACAAATGAGTGCTTTCCGGTCGAGAGATTCCACGAAAAACGCCAGGAACAAACCTCCAGTGAGCCACAGCAAAAAGCACAGAGGCTCCAGGACTAGTGTAGTGTTGGCCGAGAGGAACCAGGCGGTCGTGGCGGTTGGAGCCTGGGTAGAAGATGGAGAGGATTTCCTGGAGCACCCGTTTGTGAGTTTGGTATTTAATGCTAATGCGGTTAGCCCAGACTGTTGCCAGGCTGCTGAGAGACCGTTACTGTCGTTTCACATTGAAAAGCACTCTGCTGTTTTGAGTGAATTAATTTTACTTTACTTCTACAGTGTTAGCCTGATGCATTTATGTTATTACATACATAAACTTGTAAGACGCAAACAGTCCCCATAATTAAATTGATATTAGCATTATGTCCTTTGTACAACACAGTTAAGCACGAATATATAGCATACTGTGCTTTAAATCGCTGAAAACTTTTGTCTCAGTTAATTGATAAATGACTGAAAATGTAGATTTCTTCTGGGCAAATGGATGTTTTTGGGCTCGTCAACAGATTATATGTTATATGAATTGTTTCCGTTTAACATAATATGTGCTGACAGAACGGTTTATACAACCAAACAATGTCTGTCTTATCTACAATAGTCATTAAGGACTTGTACGTAAAATAAAATAAAAATAACAAAAAAGGGAAGTTGTTGACAAGGTGTTAAAAATGTTTTATTAAAGTACACCCTCCTCAATTATATCCATAAGATCATTTCAATACTCTTTTACAATAAAAATAAAACATCTACAACTTGCTGTAGGCTCAAAAAAGAGTCTGCCACTTTGGAGCTCAGAGTACATGCTTGGAAAAAGCCTCCTTTAAAGGTTTTCCTTGTAGGACCCTTCAAGGATGAGTCTGTAAAGTTGTTAAAGAGCCTTTCAGTGGTGTTGACATGATTTTTGCTGTTTTGGTCTAACAATCTCTGCATTCCTTTGTTAGAATCTTGCTTTGCAAACCGAGGAGCTGCAGGCGGAGAAGAGGAGGGAGAATGAGGAGAGCCTCAGACGTTTTCAAGAAGAAGTACGCCACCGTGTGGCACAGCGGGCTCAATTCTGCAAGAACAGACAGGTGTGTCATGGATGTCCAGGGTTAATGACTCCATCTGATAGTTATGCACAGGTTACACATCTCATTTGGGGAAAAAAACCTTTTCACATGCTAATCTAACCCTCAATTATGGCTTCATACTAAAGCCTGACACTTTCAAATGATTCTTCAATTAAATTCTGATTGATAAATAATTCAATGTCCAAATTGGGTAAGACCATTTTATAGTACATTAATTAAAGATATACATTATGAAGTGAAAACCATGACAAAGGCAGCATTTCTTAATACTTGAGAGCAAAGTCACATCCAGCAGAGTGGAAAATGAATATAGTGGAGCCTTCTGGCATGTGTAACTGTGTGTGTTTTATCCAGGTGACACCTGCCAGTAGAACCCCACATTTTCAGGTCAGAACCCACCGTGAACCTGTTGGTGAGAAGCAACTCCTGAAGGTGAGGTTGGTGTGTGTGTGTGTGTGTGTGTGTGTTGGTGGTAAGGGGGCATCTATAAAAAGCTCCACACTGAACCAGATTTGAAGTATTCACCTCACAGGGTTTTGAAGCATCCCTAGACATTTTGTTCTGATATCTTGTGCAGGTGCACTTTTAACTCATGCGCCAAATCCAAATCACAATGGTACATTTAAGCCCTGGTAAAGAAGAATACATCTCAGGAAAGCAAATAGGATCTGGTTGTGGAGCCAAAACCTACATTTTGGTATAATGACATGTATGACTGTCTCATGTCCTTCCTGATATGTTCACATTGAAGCAACCTGCTGAATAAACAAAGATTACTGGCTTATTGGCTTGCTGATGGTCACTACTTTCTTGGCATAATAATATTGAATCCAGTTGGCATCTGTTTCATAGCACAAGCAAAAGCAAGGTGTCAATGGAAGCCTTGCAATGTTCAGAAACTGTATTATGATCTGTGTAGAACAGGCAAAGGTGGCTACTTCAAGGAGATGGATACATTTGGTGCATATTTGTATGCTTATTTCTTGGTATATTAGGGCATATTCAATTTTAAATGGATTTTTGGAAATGTAATGCAATGGTTTATCCACCAGAGAGCACTGTTGACTTTACCTTTCAGCTGTCAACCAAATACACAGACCCTCTTTAGATGTGTAAATGGTCTCTATCAGCATTGATGCATGCCTCTTACTGGTTCTCCTGAGTATCGTATTGTGATTTTAAACATATCAGCCTCTGAAAAGAGGGCACTGATGCCTGAGTTTCTATTGCGTACATTGAAACAAGAATGATGACAATCACGGTGACTGTGAAACATTTAGAATGACTGTATATTTTTTCCCCAGTGGCTTGTATAAAAATGTAACAGTGATTAATGCGGAGTGTGACTTATTTCAACAATTTTCCAGTCGAGTGAGGGAACGAGGCAAGTCAGACTCAGACTGGCTGCGTGTCGGCTGATCCAACAGGAGGACTCGGCGTCAGACCTTCCTGGAGGACGCTGGAAAATCTCCGCTGCCAGACATGTGAGCGTCTGCACTAACTCCGGGTTCCTCTTTTTTTTAAGAGCACTTCCTGTAACCGTGTTGTATTCTTGCATGCTCAGGTTCTAATTGTAAACATTTCTCTTTACTCTCAACAGAAACCTGAATCTCGTGTGCTGAGAGCAGCGGGGGACGCACCGGGAGAGGAAGTAGAGGGAAAAGGAGATGTTCCTCTTCTCAGTAGTCAACATGAGTGTCCCCTCGTCCAACAGAAGGTGGTTATTTACAAATCTGCCATTTATACTGAGCCTTAATGAACTCATTTAGAGCCTATGGGATATCTGCCAGACAATATCATACCCATACCACCACACACTAACAAGTTATTGTTCAGTTTGGTTACATTTCAGCTGTGGTTCAAATTAAATGTACACCCCAAAGTCCACAGTATTTGCTGGTAAAACAGTGAACAGTTCTTGAGCTCAATTTGAAATCATAAAGGTTCTCAGACCCTTTATCTCATGATTCCCGTTTGAACACTGTCCTCCGCAGTGACAGCAGAAAGAATCTGTAGTGGATGTGAAATGAGCAGATGTGCTGAGATGCAAAATTGCCTGACATCTTGTGTAACTTCATGCATATGAAAGCTTTCATGCTGTTTCCGTGTTTAAAATGGCCACCCGTGGTGTCACTGGTAAAATTACAATAGCAGCTGTTCAACAGCTGGATCCTCCAATAGAGACAACCCACTTTGTGAGTGTAAAGGTTAGAATTGCCATGTTTTTGTCGTCCTAATCAAATGAAAGTTACTGAACTTCCTGTAAACTGTTCAGCATGAAATGTGAAACTGGGTCAGGTTTCGGTACAGAGCCACACGTGTGTCTGCGCTCCTCATCCAAACTGCAGGTATAAAAAATGCTGCTGTTTTCTGTTTGCCTCAGCAGAGCTCTCACAGCTCAGTTGTTGGACAACTTCAGAGTGCTTCCTCACTTGCTTTCACTGTCCAAGCACTTGGATGTAAACCCTGTGTTTCCTCCTCAAGATGTCAGGGTTTCTAAAAACTGTCCCGCAGATGTAGCTTTGCCTATGGAATTGGTTGCCTTGACGTCTTAATGCAAGGTGCTGCCTGTGGTCTGTCTTTGTCAGGTGAGATGCCATGCATCCGGGGATTATGATCAATCGCGGCCTGATTCGGATTTGGCCCGCACCCTCCCAGACCAGCAGGTTCAGAGGCCCGGGGCCGAGCACAGCTTCCTGAAAACACAGGTACACACACAACCCTATGGCTGTTTCTGCTCATCTCTGATCAGACTGCATGTAATAGATGGTTGGTGTGACCCCACAGCGTCAGTCTCAGTTCCTGATGCACCGCCGCCAGGCCATGAGCTTAGAACGAGAGCTAGCCAAGGAGAACAAACTGCACAGGAACCACCTGAAGAGGACGGCCAGGTAAAGGGAACAAAAAACCAAAGGTTTCTCTAATTGGTTTGGATGCTGTTAAAAGTCAGCCTGTGTTTTGGATCATCTGCTCTTGCCTTTGTGTCAGCAAAATTCTCTCCTCTGAAGGATCAAAGCAGAGAAAGAGCAGCTTCGAGTAGAGGAAGAGCGAAGGCTGGAGAGAGCTCGGCAGCTGGCCGAGGCCCGGCAGAGGATGGAGCAGCGAGAGCAGCTGATCCTGGAGCAACTGAGGCTGGAGGAGGAGGAGGGGAGGGCTCTGCAGCTGCACAGGACGAAGAGAAAAGGAAGAGGAAGAGAGGCTGCAAGGTAACCACAGATATCCTGATGCAGATAGTAGCGAGCCTCTGGGGACTTGGGTGAGCAGTAAGTGAGTTCTGAAACCTGTCAGAGTTGTCAGTTTCTGATCATGTTCTTCTGGACTGAGTGTTGTTAGCTGTTCTCAGACAAAGTGACGTGAATATTCCGGGTTCCAGGTTCGTGGACGCTCTCAGAGCTCAGCTGAAGGAGCGACTGTCTCAGGCCAAGCTGGAGCCGCCTCCTCTCTGCTGCTGCGCCTCCTCCTTCTGGGACTCCCACCCCGAAACCTGCGCCAACAACTGCGTCTTCCACAACAATCCCAAAGGTAATGGCGGCACACTCTGCAAACACGCTGCACGTGGAGCATCAACAGACTAAAGTTATGGAACGTATTCCTCTCCCACAGCGTATGCCCAGGCACTGCATTCAACTATGAGGAGTCTGGACTCACAGTAAAGCAGGCTGACCATCCCTGATGCCTGACAGAACTGGCCCCTTTATGTCCATTTAAAGGAGCATTACAACATTTTTGAAAATGCACCAAAACTTATTAAAGCGAGGATCGCTTGTCGATGTTGATATCAGCTGATCACCATTAGATGGACTTCGGCTTTTGGTGCTGATTAGCTACATCTGCACATCTGCAGTTTGAATACCACTATGCCCAAAGTAGTCTTACAAAGATCTGTGTTTGGCTTCTAAAGGGCTGAATGTTCTTTTTCTTTTTTTTTGTACTTTTACAATTGGTTTGAAGCTATTTATTGATTATTGGAGAATTTGTGAGTTGGCCTACTTTGTACATGTGTACATGTGCTGATATTAGATAACCTAATCACTAAAACTTCAGAGGGAGCTCGTCCTCGTGTAAATTTACATATGTGCTTTTTGTAGTTTTGCTGTTTGTTTTGTGGAATTTATCAGAACTCGCTGAGAGTCATATTGACTTTCCCCAAAAGTAATAAACTAAAAAATCTGCAATCTGATTTGAGTTTGAAGTCTTGTAGTTCTCTGAACACCTGCCTAAAGAGTTATATGTTCCTTATAATCTGTCAAACACTACCTCCTCTGGCACTACATATGTGTAAGCAGTTATAATCAGTTGCCATGTTTTCCTGTTTGCTAAACTAATGTGATATAGAGTAATCAATAATATATATCTTTAGTGTTGATTTTGAGCCAAAAAACACATCAGAAAAAACATAATTCTGAATTATTTATCTTTTCTTTAATTGCTGTGTAATAAAGACTTTAGAAAACAAGCGTGTGCATCTGAAGATCACACGTTACAAAACCCCACAACCTTTTCATTGTGCCCCATAAAAAGTACACCAGCCTTGTTCCTTATCCCAAGTTTTCTCTGTACTTTTTAATATCTAATTTTATCTGTCAAGTGTAAACTTTGATTAACATTCTAATGTTTCTCTGTAATAGTAAATATACGGTTGTGCACATGTTTCTTTTTGGACCATCTCTTTATAAGGAGTTGTAACATTAGAAATGATATGTCGAAATCGAAATCCCACAGATTGTTTCTTTTTTTCTCCACTTGTTACAGTAAATATGGTATTTAGTTTAAATAACGATTATTTTTTAATGTAATCAGAGAACGCTGGATTGAGTTATCCACATAACATAAAATGGCATCAACATGAAGAAAAGCAATCTTAAATGTAACAGTTCCCAATGTCAATCCAAAAACTTTGTGAATACTGGCGTGAAAAAAATAAATGTTCTAGAGATTCAGTTGCTGATTTACAAAAAAGAAAATACACAAGGATCAGCATCAAACTTGAATATTGTTTCAAGTAGCCTGGACCTGGACACAGGATGTACTTTCCCCACTTTAATGGTGCCCGAACAACAAACCGCTCACCAAGCAACTTCCTGCTCACCGCGACGTGCTTACGTCAGAGCTGTGCGTCAGGCTGCCACCGGGAGCGTCCGAATGGAAAAGCGTATGGAAAACCAAATCTCGGACACGGAGTGTTTGTAATAATCCTCTATTTATAACCGACGCCCTGTAAAGCTGTACGTTTTTTTTTTCGTGGAGGTAGGCTGGCTCTCCTGGCTCGTGTATATAAACTTACCGGGACAGTATGGAGCTCTGCTGGAGTCTGACGGACCGGATCTCCGACCAAGAAGCCGGACAACAGCTGCTCCTCACATCGAGTAGCTAGCGTCCACTTTTAACCCCCCGGGGCTCCGTTTACCACTTTTACAGGTCCGGCATCCAATTCGGGCTGACCCGCTTTCCAGGATAGCGGCCACTTTATTTCGCACTGTAATACATCTGTAGTTACCCAGCTCCCGGCAGCCAGCATCGTTTTTATCTGCTTCTCTTTTGTACTCCGAAGCCATGTCCGGGACCGAGCTCTGACTATTACAGGGTCGACTTTGACAAGTTTCCGTTGAACATGAAGTCTAGTCTGGCACCCGGGATACGACTTATCACGTCGTTTTCTCGAGACAGTTGGTAAGTCTGTCGTCATTTTTTTTGTTTTTCTATATCCAGAGCAGCTGGTGTGTGTGTGTGTGTTTTCTTTTCTGCTGTAAATGATTGACAGCACATCATATTCAGATAATTTATGTCGGTTGAGTCATATTCTAGGTTTTGGTTTTATTTACTTCGCGCCACAGCTCGTCCCCAGCCTGTCGTAAACGTGTAATTGCTGTTGTTTATAATTAGCTTGTTTGTTCCTTTTTTCGACGCTCATTCGACCTTTATGGCAGAGACCATAAAGTGGAACCAAAACATGCTGAGAGGGCAAATCTCTTTATTTATGTTAGTTAAGTCAAATCAAAAGAATCCTATAAATCTCTATGTAGACAAACAATATCATAAATATGATATTTATGCCCATAGAAGCTACAGTATTGACAACAGAAGATGGTATTTCATTTGGAAATAGTTACAAAAGGTGTGAGGAGAAATTTAGTTAACCGGGCTACCCAGATTCTTACTCGCTTACACTCCTGTGACACCTGTTCTTGGATTTCTCTCCATCTGTTTTTTCAAAGAAAATTCCAGAGGTTCGGAGTAATAAATGGGTTGTGTTAATTTTCACCCCGTCTTACAGTCTTGTGCCAGTTTTCTAGTCCATGTGATGAAAACACGCTGTAAGATATCTGACAAATGATGAGCTGCTTCCAGCTTTGCAGATCAGTGGACTTTCCTTATATGTGTCCTTTAAGACTGGAGCAGCATAGACCGGTGCCCTTTTAGCTCTGAGTGCTTTTAGCCAGTGATATTTAATATGTGTTATTACACTGTTAACACAGAGACTGTAAACACAGTGCTCAGTCTTTACTAATCTCTGACTGACAGAAATGGATTTATGGATGCTGCTTTACTAGCTTTTATGTTGAATATTCTCCACTTTTGTCCATCTCTCATGTTCCCATGGGTTTGTATCAGGGAGGGCTATTTCTAAATATTACTGTCTGAGTCTTGCAGGTTGCAGTAGGGATTTGCTCAGTGATGCTACATGAGTGTTCCTCTCTCAGATGAGGCCCAGTCTGTGTGTGTGTGTTTGTTTTTTGTGAAAGGCTGCTTTTTCTTGCTTTTTGGTAATGTGATTTGTTTGAAAATGTCTGGATGGATGTCTAATATACAGATCTCAATCTTGTTTCCTTTCAGGTATCGTGGTTTTACTCTCTTCCTCACATTCCTCTTCTACACGGCCTACCACCTGTCACGGAAACCGATCAGCATCATTAAGGTACACAAAGCATCACATTTATCCATTTTTTTTTGGTTTTGCAGAATTTACTGGATCAGATGCTGTGTTTTGCTCAGAGCTCCTCCATAATAGTGGGTCGGCTATGAGAAAAGCACATTCCCTTATCTTCTGCCTTTGTTCCACATATTTTGGCCAAAGCACATTGTCATGTCAATAATGTGTTTCTATTTACACCAAAATAAAAAAGGACTTGAAAAATCAGCAAGATCCCTCGTAAACCCTGAGCCTCCAAGTTTCCTTTCGCAAAGTCTTTGCTCTTCAGGTAGTTCAAGCACAGCTTCGCTAAACAGGCCGTCTATCTCGTGGCAATTCAACAAATCAATTAATTAGACAAAGCTAAGTCTCTTTGGAATGTTAGCAGACTTTGTGAAATATATCACAGCTTTGTTACACCCTGTGTCGGAACACATAGCACTGGTGGAAAAATGACAAATTCTTCACTGATGCCCTTCATGTTTTTTATAGAAACACAAAGATTACAAATCATAGATTGTCATGGCATTACGACTAGGAATCGAGTGGTTTATTATATGAGTCCAAACGGTTGCTAATGTCAGCCACATCATTGACAGATGCCAGCAAACAGCAGGGTGTATTTATTGATGTGATTTCAAAAGAAGTCAAAGGCAATTTAAATGAGTACTTTGAAAACTTCTCTACAGTCAATAAATCCCCCAGCGGACTGATATGCTTTCAGCTTATCTGTGTGGTTTGATCGTCTCGCCTGCTTTCTTCTGCGTGATTCTCAGAGTGAGCTGCACAGGAACTGTTCCTCCGTCATTCCACCTGCAGACCTCAACATCACCAACAATGCTACCTGGTGTGACTGGGCTCCCTTTGGTAAGCCATTTAACAGCCAGTCTGAATCCTTTTTGCACAGACTAAGAAAAACACAGTAAAAGACAAAGAATGTTTTTCTTAAAACAGCACATTCATTCAAATCAGTGAATAATTGGTGAATCTCAGACGTATAGTTTACTTGAATAAATTGGATTTGTCGCATGGCATAAAGGACAGAAAGCAGGTCGTCTGTGTACAGTTTGGAGAGATTGTGTTTTCCTGGGATTGTTTATTGATTATCAACATGAAACCGTACAAATAAACATCTTGCAAAAGTTAACTTTTTCCTGGTAACTCAGCAGGCAGTTCATTTATCTTAAAATGAGACCAACGGGTGGATGAAGGCCGGTCCAACTTGTTTTTTTGGGCCTGATGTACATTGTGTGTGATGGAAGCTTTTCATCTGAGTGTTGAATATGTTTCTAGCTGTCGCTTTATACCTATGAAACAGCAGAGTGATGTAATAGCACTTAACTAATAATGACACCCATGTCCCAAGATGCTTTTTAACACCATGGACATGAACTAAAACTTGAATACTCTTCTCAGAGAACATTCTCCACAGGCCAGGAGAATCATTTAGATTTGAAGCCTTCATTTAACTCCACATATTCATGTTTAGACTGTCTGGGAGACTTAAAGAATTCAGTTTGACAGTTTTTCTGTGATCCTCCATCTGAGACTGACTGCTGTTCTCTCTCCAGACCAGGACAACTACCAGACTCTGTTTGGGGTGCTGGATAACTCCTTCCTGGTTGCCTACGCCATCGGCATGTTTTTCAGGTTTGCATGATCTCTCGCTGTCTGACTTCTCACTGTTTAAGCCCGATCCGTCCAAGCACTGTGCTGTGCCTGCAGTGGGATCTTTGGCGAGCGCCTCCCCCTGCGGCTCTACCTGAGCGCCGGGATGCTGATGAGCGGACTGTTCACGTGTCTGTTTGGGCTCGGCTTCTACTGGAACATCCACTCACTGGGTTACTACGCCTTTGTCCAGGTACGCACGTCACTGTAAGCGTCCTGTTCCAAGAGCTCCAAGTAAAACCAAACTAATCAATCAGCTGCTGGTCCATATGACAGGTGCTTTAACTTGAAATCCATTTGGCAGGAAAATATAAGCGCAGAGATCAGATTATTTATGTCTTGCTGACTGAGGCCGGGCAGGCCTTTTGGCTGCACCAGCTCTGCTCCACACTCTGCATCTCAAAGCCAACAAAAGCACTCTCAGATGAATATAACTGCAGATCCTGTCATTTTGACCAGTAGTAACTTCTCACTGCATGTCTCATGTTTGAGATGGCCAAGATGGCCTTGGCTCAGAAACAAAATTGCAAATTCGAGAGAAAAAGGAATGTTTGATTTTTCTTTCTTGTGACTAAATGGGGTATAAACTTTGTTTTTATCATTATTAGAGCATCACACCAGCGTAAACCTCCATGATGGGCAAAGTAGACTTAGAAATACAACATTTTATTTTTTATAAAATCTTTAAAAAAAACAAACATTGATTTTTTTTACTGAGTTACACTCCCAGTCGGGATGTGATGACTCTGAACATTTTGTGCCACCACAGGTTTTTCCATCCTTTGAAAATATGCAGGGATCTCATGGTCTTTAACTCACACACTCATCACATGACTCACAGCGGCATCATATGACCGCACAAACACGTCCGGGCTTATGAGCCGCAGGTTTGCGTGGGAATGTTAAGTCCATGCTCGCTGCTCTTTTATGTGGACGCTGCGGGGTCGAAGCGGCGCCGCGATGCCTTCATGGGCAAAGTAAAGGCCGGCTTTCCCTCTCCCCCTGTTTGCAGGTCATGAACGGACTCATGCAGACCACCGGCTGGCCGTCCGTGGTGGCTTGTGTCGGCAACTGGTTCGGAAAGGGGAAGTGAGTACATGGGTGCAGTCCTGCTGACTTTGCAGATTAAAATGCTTTTAATTTTCCATTTTGGTAGCTTGCTAAATCACATTCACACTCACAGTGGAAGCAGCTCCGTTACACCAGATCTAAGATCTGAATTTCTTAAACAGCAAGTCAATAAACCGGTCAAACTGGTTCTGTCTGAATTAGGATTACAAGCTCAGTAAACAGAGGCTAGAGGGAGAACAGTAGTCACATGTCTGAATGCGTTCCGCCCTCTCAGAGTTTAGTCTGTAGGTATGGATTCACTCCAATATTGACATGCAAAACAAACCTCAGCTTCTCAGAAATCAGGTTACATGAGAAATCATGACAAGTTCACATGTAGTGGGACTGATCAGAGCATATTTGAGGTGTGTAAATACTAAAAACCCCAAACCCTTTTTAGGTTTTAGAAGTTGTCACTCCCAAATAAACAAACTATAATATAAGGAAACAGCTGGATGCCATTTTCAGGTTTTACCCTTCCTGATAGTCAGACAAGACATGGTTTGCTATTAAAAAAAACCCAGGTCATACATCATGTACTACAGCTTGTGAACATATTCTCAAGTCCTATCATCAAAGCATAAAGAGAAAAAGATGAGAAGAAAAGGAGAAAGAGAAAACCTACATCCATATTTTCTCACACAAACAGCACCTTGAGAGTGGTAGTAAATGAGAAGAGGATATTTTACTGCATACATGTATAACATTGACTAATTCTACAATTACTGAAACAAAAACAGATAATATAACCAAATGAGTGGAATAAATAAATTCTACCAGTATCTTGTCTGTAAGTTTCTAGATAGTTTGTCTGTTTTTCCAAGTCATTTTCAAACTGATCCTGTTCAAGCTTAACAATGAATGTTAGCTTCTCCATTATGAAAATAACCGTGACAACTTTAATCCAATCATCAACTGTGGGAGGCAATTACAGGGTTATTACATTTCTTTGTAATTGCTTTTTCACTTGTCAACAGTAATACGTTATACATATATTTAATTTCAGGTCCCATCACAGTATCTGGTCTTAGCCCCAGACCTAATGTCTCAAACCCAGATGGGATCATTATTTTCAGTCATTTACTTCTGGTAGATGAATCATGACATGACATATGACAGTTACTTATCATTATTTCTCAACAAAATCCAGTCGAAAAAGTATTTTTCTCCTTTTTTATATGAGCTCATAGAATGTAATATGTGTGTTAGGAACAACAGCTCGTGACTGTTTGTGTTTTTATTGTCAGGCGCGGTTTCATCATGGGCGTGTGGAATTCCCATACCTCGGTGGGAAACATCTTGGGCTCCCTCATTGCCGGGGTCTTCGTCTCGTCGGCGTGGGGGATGTCCTTCATAGTCCCCGGAGTCATCATCGCTTCGACTGGGATCCTGTGCTTCTTCTTCCTGGTTGAAAGTTAGTAACACGCACAGACACTCCACTGAGCCGTTTCACAGCCGGGGTTAGCCATCAAAGTCAAGGCCTCCTCATGTCCTCTCTCCCTCAGAGCCCGAAGACGTCAACTGCACTCCCCCTCAGCACCATGTGAGTGGAACGGAAGTGAGTCTCTCTGAGTGGTAGCCGGACGGCCGGGACTCACCGGTGTTTGTGTGTCAGAGCGAACAGGAGAGCGACGAGACGGAGCCTCTGCTTCGCAACTCAGCCAACGGCACCCAGACCATCAACGGCGCCATTTCCACCGAGGTTCCGGAGATTGTGGAGGAACACACGGAGGCCATCGGTTTCTTCAGGGCTCTCTGCATACCTGTGAGTCAAAACAACCGATTTTAACTGCAGAACTAACAAACCTGTTGATATTTAAAGGAAAAAGACCTTGTAAATAAAATGCCTTATTAAGAAAGTAGCAAAAGAAATGACATGGACTCTTTAGTTCTGACATTAATTAAATTCAATTTCAGTGAAAAAGTCTTTATTTGTTTCCAGGAACAAGCTGTAGGGTGGCCGATCAGTTGTTTCATCTTGTTACGTGTTCGAGTTGAAGTTAATGTTCATATTGTTTCTGACATAATGGCACCAGGGGCTCATTGGGGCCAAAATGGGCAACCTGTGGTGAGAGATAGGATTTTTTTCAGTTTGCTGAAACCTCAGAGTTAAGAGCTGAGGTCAGCTTATCAGGACCTGATGGTGTGTGAGCTCTGTGTGCTGTGAGAGCTGGTGGACAGCTGGGAAACAGACTGGCTTTTTGGGTTTTCACGAGCTCTGACAATATCAGAGACCTGTAGCAGGACTTGTACTTGTCAGGATGTTTGAGAATGAAGAATTAAGAGAAGCGAATAATGAAGGGAACTCTAGAATGTCTGTCTGCTGTCCTGTGGTCCTCGCTCATCCTGCTGTCTGTTCAGGAGGTTTCCTCTGAAGCAGACAGGATCAAGTATTGTGTGGCTGTTATAGACTTCATTTCTGACTCTGATTCTCTGCACAGAGTCAGACTTCAGCTCTCAGTCTATGCAGTCCTGGAGCCTTTGCCCTGCTCTCTCTGTGGAGTATTTCCAGACTTGCACCATCGGTTTGATTCCGATTGCATTGCAATCAGTTAGACTGTGTCTCTGAAGTAAATAAGTTAATTGTTGTCATTTGGAGTGTAAGTGAAATGGAACTAGATTAGATTTAATTTAATTGAATGTGCAGTGATGCTGCATTTTAGTGTCACCAGTTCAAAGTAAACGCAAAGAAATTGTACTACGAATTAATCATTTATTCAGGTTTTCTTGTTCTCCCTTTTTTTCTCTTCTGATTAAGTAGAGGGTAGTAACTTCTACCTATTCTGGAACCTGAAATGAGACAGTTGCAGTATTGCTGGCAGAAGCTGCTTTCTCCTAAACAACTAGACGGGGATCTGGAAGAAAAAAAGGTTGAAGACATGAAAAGACGCTTGTAGATTCACACCCTGTATCCAACTGCTGCCTTTTGGGTCCTGAGAGACCTGTGAGGATTTTAAAGTGAAACACAGAGAACATCACCCGTCAGATATGGCCTGTTCTCCCACTCCACTACGCACGTCTCTGATCAAACCCTGTGTGGGTAGCAGTCATGCACTGGGTGTTTTGTGCTTTATTCTCGCTCAGATCTGGTCTGGTATTAGTTCTGTAAAAAAAACTCTGGTGCAAACGCCTCTGACATTAGTCCCAGATCCAGATGTGCTACAGAAGCTGATGGGGGGCTTGTGTCTCCTACAGGGGGTGGTGGAGTTCTCCCTCTGCCTGCTGTTCGCCAAACTGGTCAGCTACACCTTCCTGTACTGGCTTCCACTCTACATCTCAAACGTTGGTGGGTATGCTGCGCACATGCTTTTCCTTGTTATTGCTGTGAGATATAAAACTAACGGATGTTGTTTTTTTTCCCTCTAAGCACACTTTGAGGCTAAACAAGCCGGAGATATGTCAACACTATTCGACGTTGGGGGAATCATGGGTAAGCTGTTGAGCGCTCACAAATGCTTCTGGTGAGAGCGGATGAGTGTGAGGCGGCTGTTTGTGAAGCGGCTGTTTGTGAGGCGGCTGTTTGTAAGGCGGCTGTGTGTCCACAGGCGGCATCCTGGCCGGGCTGGTGTCGGACTACACGGGTGGGAGAGCGTCCACCTGCTGCGTCATGCTGGTGGCTGCTGCCCCCATGGTGAGATTTAGCAAACGCCAGGTTATCAGGGAGCTCTTTTCCACATTGTTAAGGTTACATTTAGCTAGCTTTGTTTAAATATCGCTATACCCACACCCGGAGCTCCCCGGATGCTTGTGACTCCCCCCATTGGCCGAACTACCTGACCTGGGTTATAGCTGCTCTTAAAGCTGCTGGGAGTCAGGGGGTGTTGTTTGTTTAAGGTCAGGTGCAGTAAGTCGTGTCCTCAGTCTCAACGAGTGCATTTCTTTCAGTTCTTTGAGAGTATGTAGATAGAGCGCCTCAAATATACAGTGGGGGAACTAAGTATTTGACCCCTTGCTGATTTTGCAGGTTTGCCCACTTACAAAGAATGCAACGATCTATAACTTTAATCATATGTACATTCTAACAGTGAAAGACAGAATCCCAAAGAAAATTCCAGAAAATCACATCATATGAATTTATAAAAATTGATAACCATCTGATGGAAAAATAAGCATTCTTTGTAAGTGGGCAAACCTGCAAAATCAGCAAGGGGTCAAATACTTATTTCTCCCACTGTACATAATACAAGCACGTTTCACTGACTACAGAACAAACAAATGCACAAACACATCACCTGTTAACGACTGTTCTTCTCTGAGGGTTTTTCTGCTGTCAGTTACAGTATGTGTCATGTTTTCTCATCTTCTTAAAATGTGTTTCATGTTGTGATTTAAAAAGATGTTGTGACAGGGGCCGTAGGGCCAAAGCAAGGATATCAAATTAGTATTAAATAATGTTTTGTTTTTTCCTATTTTCCAGCTTTTCCTCTATAATTACATTGGCCAGAGGAGCCTTGGTACAACAGTAGGTAAGACTGTCACAACTTACCCTTCTATACACCCGTATAAAGACATTCTTTTTTTAATCCTCTGTCAGATCACGGGTTGTCTTATAGACTCCCATCTAATTTCTTAACTGGAAAATCGGTAGCATTTTAAAGTTTTAAAGCTTAGACAGAATTAGAATGAGCTGAGAACAGGCATATATGAAGAGTCTTTAAAGTCCCAGCACTGCTTGACATCTGCACAGGCTTGATGTCATCCATTGTTATTTCAAAGCTTACAATGAAATTAAGTATGTTTTGCTGTCAGGGTTTGTTGGAAGTAATCAGAAGAGTCTGTGTTTAATTCTAACTTGTGGACTTGCCGAAAAAAGTGATTCACCTCTCCGTCACAGTTACTGTGAGACATAAACCCAGATGAATCAGAACACGTTGCCATTTCTTTATGTTTAAAGTGTAAAATGGGCCATTGTCCCGTTTGCAGGGATGCTGCTGGTGTGTGGAGGCCTGGTGAACGGCCCCTATGCCCTCATCACCACCGCCGTGTCAGCTGACCTGGTGAGGCCCACGGCATCATGGGAAAAGGCCACGGGACGGCCGTCCATCCTTAGGCCTCTTTAGAAAGAACAAACGCTCTGCTTCTAACGTGAGAACAATTTTGATGTCACAGGGAACCCACGAGAGTCTGAGAGGGAACTCCAGGGCATTATCAACTGTGACGGCCATTATTGACGGGACGGGATCAATAGGTACGTAGTTCCCGTCAAAATCGTGGAAAACACAACCTTTAATGGCCTCAAACTTGCTTAATCATAACAGAAAAAAAAATCAAATTGTTCCTGCTACTATTTTCTTTTTCTATAGCTTCAGACTGTATGATAAATACCATTAGAGGTTTGTTTAAAGAACAGAAAACTCTGGAAAACAGGGCCTGGGGCTCCAAACTTCACAGTGACAGATACAATCATGTGAGGAGGGTCTTTGAAATGAGAACGGACCTTTTTTTTTCGCCTCATAGTTGTAAAATGTGTATTTTAGTTGTGGGTCCATTGGCTGAAGGGGAGAAACGGGAGCAAAAATTAGTTCAGACCCTGTTAGGTTTATAATTTCATCATATTCTTCATAGTAATGATTTATTTACATGTGAAACATGGGATTAGGGATATTAAATTAGACTTAAAAGATGGCCTGGCGGCCTGTCCAGGGTGTCCACCGCCTCTCACCCTTTGGCAGCTGTCTGTCTGGGTGTTGTCGAGGCAATTTCTTTTTTTTTTTATATTTTCTTTTTTCAAAGTTTTCAGTACAACATTAATAACACAGAACAGTTCGACATAGAGAGCAGTTGGCAAAAATGCAGCTTGTTGAAGGTAGCGATGAATCATGAACCATTTTGAAGCACAGCACACTTTACCCTGTAGGAGTCCCCTTTTGACCAAAGTTTGTGAAAAATGTCAAGTTTCAAGTGAATTTTAAAAGTAATTTGTTCCATATTTCTTATTTCAGTCATGGTTTCAATCGAGTTTGAAATCGTGGGGGCTGACTGTGTCATCCATTTCTTAGTTATGGCTTTTTTTACAGCAGCAAGCATTATGTTCCAAAGGTATTTATTTACTGTGTCCATTGCGGGTGTTTTCATTCCAATGTACAATGTCCTGAAGTTGAGAGGGATGGTGACATTATAAAAAGTTTGATCTGTCGAGGCATTTTCATATCTAACAATATATAAAAGGGCTTGTCTTTCTTTTGTCCGGGTTTTGGGAGATGAGCGTTTTGGTCTAAAATGCCATCTGTTCGTGTTGGTGGATGATAGTTGAAGGATTTGCTCTGTCCCCTGCAGGTGCTGCTTTGGGTCCCCTTCTTGCCGGTGTGATTTCCCCCACCGGCTGGAACAACGTCTTCTACATGCTCATCTCTGCCGATGTCTTAGCCTGCCTGGTCAGAAGCCCCTCTTTACCCCACAGAAACTCTCGCCGTTTAGCTGGTCGACATGTTTTGGATCGGGTTTAGAAAGAAAACCTGAGTGACCTGTGGTTTTCTTTTCAGTTTTTGACCAGGCTTGTCTACAAGGAAATTCTGGGCTGGTGCAGACGAGCCCCCCGAGTCAGAGGGTGAGTGTTACCATGACAACGCTAGCTTCAAGCTAGAGTCATTCAAAATAAACGATTGTTAATCAGTTGAATAACATTCCATAAGGGTAATACTGTTTAAAAAGAAAGCCTGAAAAAGCTACTTGAAAATCCTGAAGAAAACCTAAGTACAAAATAGCACCATAATTTGAATCTAACTGCTACCAGTTGATGGGAAATGTTTCCGCCTTTGTGTTTTCGAACTGCAGATTCAAAGACACCTGAATAAGTCACACAATCAAACAGGGAACCACACGAACACAACACAGAAGGGAAACGGCACCCGAAGTGACCTCACATCTGCTTTCCAAACCAAGCGGGACGATTCTGGGCACTAAAATGACAATTGAATCTTTCTGAAATGCCTTTTTAGAGACAGAAAATCTTTTATATGACCCATTTACTCATTCCTACTACGTTGTTTTAATATGCTTTTATTATTAAAGAGGATATTATGTGATTTGTTTTCTAAAATGTGTCCTTTTTCTGTGTTATTATGCGTGTCTGCATCCAGTTATGTGTCTTGACAAATGAGTACCTTTTCATTTGAACATAAAGTGCTATTATCTGAGGGTGATCTGAAACTCTGTGATCATATTTCTGACGTTAGAGATGTTATTCTGTCAGTCCATATTTTAATCTTACACCCATCCTTCTGGATCTATGCAACAGATACAAACATAAAGAAATACATATCCTTAATGTACCATGGATGACCGGTAAAAGATATGGATATTTCCCTTATTGACAAAAGCCAATCCCACAGCATGTTTCACCATCTTCTGTTTAATGACAATTATAAGTAAAACCATAATACACTTCACTGGAGGAGAATCGAACATTTCAGTGATTCAGCCTTTACTAGTATAAGTACAAATGTCAGAAAAGCTACTTGTAACCTATTACAAGAATTCCAGTGGTTATTATTTGACCGATTAAGTTCATTTCAGACCACTGCAACACATTTCCTTACAATAAAGCACATAATGTGCACTCAAAGGAGAAAATAAGTTAAAAAAAGAACTAAAAGTAACATAATTGCTTTGAGGACCAGCAGAGGCCAACGACTGTTGACCAGTTCTTACATTCAGACAAAAGGAATCATCAATTTTCTGCAAATTTTCTAAACTGCATTTTCGTCACTGTACCCCAAAAGAACAACAAAAGCTACAGATTTCACCACCGTTGGCTTTCTGAACGCTTTGCAGAGGTTAAATATCCCAAAACGGCTGTGAAATTCTCAAAGTATTTACTCATTTACAGCAAAAGAAAAAATATAGTCCACATGAAATTCCAGTTTGAGACACTATGGAACCTTACCATGCCAGGGCTTAATTAAAGCATTTAAAATGCAACTATTCTATCCGAAATATCGATGATCAAATCTAAGTAAAAGTAAAGAACTCCAGGGGGGCATTCTAACACCAGTTTATCCGAAGTATTCGTTTTCAAGAAAACCTTGGCGGTGCTTTATTTATTTAATATTCAGTATTGTTCATATCCTTGCTAGCTTGCTGTCAGGAAAACTGCTGAGTGGGCAAGTGAGGAAATAATAGGATCAGCCTAATACACAGCAAATAAACGTTTGAAAGCTCTACCACAATTTCATCTTGTGCCACAACTGCCAATCAAACATACAATAGACGCTTAGTGATGCTAGAGAGTGAGGATTGATTAAACTGCCTGTATCTCTGCATAAAAACAATATAAAAAAGAACATGAAGCATCAGATGTTTCTTCCAGCATACAAAGTGTTAAAATAATTCACTGTTTCACATGCTTGCTGATAAATCTGTTAAGGGAAATTCTCCAAAAGGGGACACATCGATGGTTTTCAGCATGTTTTGTGACCTTTCAAAGGAAGCTTGCACATTTCTAGTCACTGTTAGAACAGTGAATGTGGACTTTCTGGGACTATTTGAGTCCGTCCCTCTGTGGGAAGCAGCTCTTGCTCTGGGAAGTCGATGGGCTTTCTAACATGAACGTCCTCGCTTATCAAGTTTAACAAGGGAAAAAAAAAAAGCGTAACACTTTTCTGTCACTTGTTAATGTGGGTTCTCTTTATCTACCTTAACCGCTCTCCCTCCCACCGGATCTCCGTCACACAGACATCCCACACATAACTGCCTCATTTAAATCCAAACTCCAATCCCGTTGGGTCAAACTGGCTCGCTCCCTTTGATTACAAACGCAATGCCTTATTAGAATTTATTTGGATTTTTAAACAATTTTTTATCCTTGATGTAAGGTGAGATTGAGTGTCAAGACAGGCACATACAAATAAAATGTATTATTAATATTATTAGTAGTAGTAGTATTAGTAGTGGTATTAGTTTAACATGTGTGGACAATTGATGGGTGTCGACAATTTTCCGGCAGAAATGTGGAACATCCTGATGAAGATATCACTGCAGTTGTAAACAAGATGTTTTTTTTTCTATTTTAGAATCATTCTGTATTTTATTTTTTCAAAAAGTATTTTGATCAGGGCTATAGGTCTCCTTTGGGCTGTGGCATTTTCTCATCATTTATTGGTAAAAAAAAAAAAAGTCCAAATCAAAATCTAATCTAAAAGCAAAATATAGTGGCTGGCAGTGGGGTGCGTTTCAGGAACTTGATGGTCAGACATCGGTTCCCGGGTTGAGTCTCCAGACAGAACCCTGCTCTCAGCAGAGGTGTTTGGTCACTTCTTCTTCATCCGTCTCAGAACAAAAATAACTTCAATAATTTCATACTATACAGTTTTTGTTTCTCAGTGATGATAAGAAGCAGGATTCCACGCACGGTACCAGGACCTGGAACACCAAACAGAGCATTACAGAATTATCCCTGAAGACAATAAGATAAATAAAATAAAGGAGATTCTTTAAATTTCTCTAAAATGGACTGAGGTAAGGAGAATGGGAGGTGGGAATTCTGTCGTTTGTCTAAATGAACCTTCCAAAATAAAATTAACCCTCTTTTTATACCGTTGAACATCTAAATGTTCTGTGAAAGAGAAATAAAGTTGTTTTTAGGACTTTTCTTACCCTGGCGTGCTGTAGGATGCGGGGTTGACCTGAGAGGTTAGAGAGACTGAGACTGTGGACAGACCATTGGGAGATGGTTCGCGACTGGGGTTGTTTGGGGAGGAATTTGATGAAGCTGGAAGGAAAAGATTAAAAAAATTCATCTAAAAATTGTGGAAGAAATTTTTCCATACAGTAAAAATGAGTCTTAACTACAACACGGTAAATCTTAATAAGCTTGGATGATGGATATGGAGAGAACTTGCCTGCTCCTGAGGCCAGAGGACTGTAGGATCTAGATGTTGAGGCCTGAAATGGAGTTAAAAAAACCTTTAACTATTATGAAATATATTTATTTTACCCGCTATGTCCATCCCAGTTCTTCTAGTTTGAATGAACTTATGAGTAATGGATGGTTTAAAAAGTGCTTGTGTGAAGAAACTGTACAAATGACTGCAGAATGACTTAGTACAGTTAATTGAAAGACTTAAATAGACATAAATAAGGTAATAATGTTCCCAAATTGAGTTGAATACATTATATGAAATTGTGAAATGTCTCCCAATTTCTCGATTTGAATCTCTAATCAAATCAGAACTTTCTTAATGCTTAAGTGACCCTTCACATGTCTTCATGGTCTGATTTTCAATAACAGTGTGAACAGTTTTTGGGGCATTTATGTGTATTGATATAGAGCTATTTTTTAATATGCACGGCAGACCTAAAGCTGGCTCCAAACACAGGAGGGATTTCATCCTCTTATGCACTACACTCAGTTTTATAATATTTATTTCAGACTTATATTGTTGCAAGCTCTTTGAAAGCATAATTTGTTCTGACTGCTGTTTAGTTCTCCTGTCAAGTAAAATGAATGATGAATTTGAGTCAGGATGTGTGTAGTGGTGACCCATCTGGGGGGTGCTCTGCCTCTTTCCCAATGGCAGATGCTGTCTGCAACCCAATGAATGAGCCAACCAAAAGCTGAAAATACTAATTAAGGTAAAGTATTCGTCCCTTTTCGTCCAGAGTCTTTCCTTAAACCGGCATGTTGGCACGTGTGCTTTTCTTCTGCAGGCTTCAGAAGGTTGGCCGATCAGAAGTGAGGGATTGTTTCAATTCTAGTTTCCATGTAAATAGAGTTTTTTTAGAACTACAGGCCTGAGAAGACCTGGAGCTTTCTGCACGATTGAAATGAATAGGTTTGGTAGCTAACCATTCTGGAGTTGCTAACCATTCTGGAGTTGTAGCTGTGAGATTTGACGGGTAAAGTCGCTACCGGGCAGTAGATCCTCTTCTCCTTCTGACGGCGGTTACAGAACCAGACCCGGACCACCTCCTTCTCCATGGAGAGCTGCTCCGAGATCAGAGTTATCTCCTCCGAGTTGGGTTTGGGATTCTGAAAGCCAAAAAATGCAATCAAATGAAAATATATACGATATTCTTAAGACAACTGTAAAAAAACATAATAAAAAAACACCCCAGAAGATTTTTGTTTAGTTCTTCTGTCAAGTAAAATGACAGGAGAAACATTTTTATATGTTTCTTTATGTGACGCTGCTTAAACTCCTGTGATGTAGCTAAAGAGTTAATGTTTGGATATCTTTGGTTTTTATTTATTTAGATGACAAAAATGTAAATGTAAATCTTTTGCATGTCTACACTTTTTTTTACCTCCCTCCCACGTGACATGGTTTGGACAAAAATAGGATCTCTTTACAGATTATATCAAATAGTCAGATTGGAACTCCCAATAGATCATAACTCTTGTAATTTAAATCTTATAAGACAATAGGAGAAGTACAATAAAGTCAAATGTTACATCGAGAGGCTCTGAACTTCGTTTATCAATGGAAGGTGCATGACAGCTGAAAATATATTTGTGATGTGGAAATTAGTTTCTTTTCTAATTTGAATATATGCAGAATCCTGTACAAATACTTTTTGGATTATTACTAACACTGAAGTCGACCATGCAGACTGTGAACTTACATCGTGAAAACGTTTTTCCAAAGTCAGTTTGATGTTGGTCTCAATGCTTGTCCTCTTTTTCCGCTTGCGCCCGTAGCCTTCCAGCAGGGGCATAGAGGTGGACGAGCTCATGGAGTCGGACGGGGAGTTCTCTGATGCAAAGAAGAAAAAATACAACATTCTGTGGAGGGCTTCAACCATAGAAAAATCTCAACTGCAACAGTTTTAAAAAACGTCATTTTTATTGTGAGTAATCCATTTCTGCACCTGCTATTTCCTAGTGTGGCTACAGAACCCTCATGTGAGAGGCAGGGAAAGATGATAAACCAAGACTGTTTTATTATTAGAGTTGCCATGGCATTATCATCACTATATACTGTTTTTATTTATTTTTTCAATGAATCTAGTTAAACATTTACTTGATTTTTTTAATGTCAGAAGGCCACAAGCTCGTCAAGTGCAATTTGACTTTTACTAGTATTTTGACCCAAAAGTAGTTTTAATTGTCTTAATAATTGTCATGATTACCTGCATCGCTGAGCCATTTCTCCAGCAGGGGCTTGAGCTTGCACATGTTTTTGAAGCTGAGGTTAAGAGCCTCAAACCGAGAAATTGTCGTCTGACTGAAGTCATTCCCGTACAGTTTTCCCATTGCAAGTCCCACATCTCCCTGTAATAAAAAAAAAAAAAAAAACATAGAGAACATGGACAAAACCCTCTTCTCTGATTAAGATGCAGAATCATGTAAATGGTTTTAATACTACATGAACTAAGAATTAAACCCGTTTTATACGGATAATTCAGAGCCTGGGTTTTAGCTGTGAATATAAATCACATATTTAGAAGGAGAGAAGATTATCCGACTTATTCAAAAATATGTCATGGACCTGTTCTTGAAAACAGAAACTGTGAATATGACCTGATGTAGGAATCTGAAGAAGACAGAGTACAAAAACTATTCAAATTTGGAACACAAATTGCACACAAATATGACAAAAAAATCATTTGGGTGTCTTAAATCTCCACCAAAGCATTTAATACTGGTACATCATGTATGTATAAAAACTCATTTAAAAGCCTTTGTTATCTATTGAGTAAAGAAACCTCCTAGGTCCTAATTTATACTCAAATTTATACTCAAATCACATTGATCTGACAGTATAGGATAAAACAAACACCAGTACTTCCATTAGGTTCCACATACTCACCACTGACCTAACTGATTACTATGAGTGAGTGAGTGAGCATTAAGGGAAACATAATGTGGTTCTTCTTTAGGTTACCTGAGTGAAGCCCAGTTTGATGCGTCTTTGTTTGAAAGCTTTGGCAAACTGCTCCAGCTCCTCCAGGTCGCTGGGCTCGTCCTGAGCCGGGATGGACATGTGTTTGGGCATCTGCAGGTGGGACATGTCCATGTGGCTCTCCATGGAGGGTCCCGCCAGGCCCGAGCGGCTCATCCCCTGCATCAGAGAGGCCATTTTCAACTCCAGGCGAAGCACAATAGAAGAAATAACAGAGCCCCAGGGCAGGTCATGCTCCCAAACAGCAGTTTAACATCACATCGTTCATCTTTTAGCTGCTCTTTCGGTGGATTTCCACAGTGAACAACCACTCAGCCCCACTTTTCCTCACTTTTCTCACATGTTCATTATTTCCCCACGCCACTCCTTACCTGGGGGGTCAGAGCGAGCCCGGGCTGATGCTGGAGGAGGCTGCTTTGACTCTGACTCGGAAGGGACAACAGATTCTGCTGTAAAAGTGCTAAAAAAAGAAAAACAGCAGGGTAATTTCACTTTAAGAGGACAGAGCTTCCTCCTTTTCTTTGGCACTGACTCCATCCCCACTGTTAGCTCAGCCGGTTTATCCCTTTGGGCAGATTGATAGCAGCTACTCTTCTCTAAATGTCTGACTGAAAAATTATAATTAGCGAACATTGTGAACATTTCCTGAAACTTTACCTTGGTGGCTGGAAGGACTTTGGGAGAGCAGGAAGGGGGAGGGAGCTGTCAGATGAGAGGGGGGCATCAAAACCAGCTGCTGCATAGGGTGGAGGGAGGTGAGCTCCTGAAGCCATACAAACAAGTTGAAATTGTATTCAATACTATACATTTATTTATTTAATCAAATGTTAGTGAATCACCATCATGTGTGTTTGAACCTAAACTCGTTCTACATTGTTTTGGCCACCAGCATCTGTAATAGTGCTTTCTGAAAGTGAACCATGTCGTTTAGGATACAGAAGACAACAGTTACCAAGTCTCCTAAAGACAAAACTTAAATATCATGCAGGGCTGGGAGATCTGAAGATGCATTCTACCCGATGACCAGCAGGGGGAGTCTGGTTTCATAAAGAAGGGTGGAACCACAGTCTGGTGCAACTCAATAGATTTATGTCAGTGGCAAAAATAAATTAAATGTCAGTAGATTTCTGTCTTTTTCTCACTCTGTGAAATACAGTAATGTTTACACCAACTAAGACACACTTGCTGCACCCAACTTTGAATGTACAGTCTCTGAGGAAATGTTAAACAGTTAAGACTTTGGTTTCTCATCTGCAACGATTTTGGTTTCTTCTCTGCAACTGCACCGGTTTAAAACACACAGATTTGTTTATAAGGAACATCCAGTTCATCAGCAGGCTGCACATCTTTGCATTTATCCCCTAAAATGGACACATCTTACCCCACTCATCTGGCTTCCATGGACCGGTGAGCTCTGCGTTGGGTGACATGCTTTCAGCGAGGAGCCTGAGTGAGGCGAGTCGTTGATATCTTCTGTCTTTATCTAAAACACACCCATTATGTCAGTAGATTTTTCAAAGGATTGGCTGGATGTTCAGAGCAGAGAGAGGGGGAGGAAACACTGCCTCTGTATGAACGCTTCAAACGTTTTTCTGTGCAACAAACTCTACAGAAACAAAGCACACACATTCAGGGACTACGGGATACTTGTTGCTGGACTTGTTTGCTCACTGAACACAGATTGATAGATTCTTTCCTTCCCCTTGAGCAGGCCGGTATGCAAATAGCCCTCCTGGTCATTCCCCCTCTAACCAACCCCTCAAAGCCAGAGCGTTTCCTGAGAGCGCAGGTACTGAAACAAACCCTCAACTGTGCACATCTGACAAAAAAATAGCCCATTATCTGCCCTGTTTAAGTCATTTCCAGCCACACTGAAAACTGAGGATGTTAAATTGAAAATACTTGGTATGAAATATTTTAATTTTTATATACAATCAGCAAAATTCCTATCCACCGTTAAAAAAAAAAAAAAATCTATTAATAACTTTTATAGAATTGATGCATTTTCTAATTTCCAAATCAAATCAACTACATTTTTGGTCAGTAATATTCCATACAGGTTGTCTTTATTAGATTTAGTGAATTGCTAAGAGTAGCTTGCAATTTTAAGAACTTTCAGGGCCACTTTGACATATGGACTATATTGGTTTATGGTACACATTCATGAAATGGAACTACACAAAGCAACATGGATTCTCATAGAGATCATGTTAGCGCTGTAAAAGTGATGCACTCAAAAGGCCAAAATCTTCAGCCACACTTTCAAATAATTCATATCTCATTTCTATATAATTAACTGCATTTTCAGTTAGTAAATATTCCATTAATCTAGTCTAAATCATATTCCCCTCATCTCTTCTCAATCTTTGAGTATTAGATTATGAATATTATGTTTATTGTACGCGTTCATCAAATGGAACTACACAAAGTAACATGGATGCCCATACAGATCTCAGCTCAGGTGACCCAAATCCTTAGCCAAACTTTTATATAACTGTCTGATTTCTAAAGAATCAAAGGTTTTATGTTAAGTTTTTGTTCTCTTTTTTCTAAATGCTGTGAAAATGAGGGGACAGACTACCAAAATGTGCTTTAACCCACAGACACAATGTTTTTCTATCCTGATCACCAGTCATTTTAACTAAGTATGGCACTTCATCACAATAGAAATTGTATTTGAAAGTGTGTGGGAGACAACCAGATTCTGGAGAAAAGATGGTATAAGACCATTTCAGGTTTCACTGTCCATGTTTCATGTCAAGCAAAGAGAGGCAGAAAACTCATTCATATATTAGGCGTTTCTTGGGAATTATCAGCACAGAGAGTGATGTCATGAACTTACTTGTCGATTGAATTCAATTCCGTTTCGCTCTAAAAAAAGAAAAGAAGAAGAGGAGAAATTCAGCCGTGGGGTCAGTACATTTTAAATTCATCTTGAGAATAGACAACCTATTTAATTTAACTTTAACCGTCTGAAAAAAAAATGCTGATATATTCGCTAATAGTTAAATGGTAAGAAATAAGTAAAATGTAATGAAAAAAAAACAGTCTTAGAGCTACGTACATTCAAATTGAGGCACAATTAGAATGTTTTAATGACCAATCCTTTTCCCTCAAACACAGGCTGAAATACTACAGAGACGTTATAAACGTGTTTTGATGCTGAAGCACTGTAGTAATGTTAAAAGTTAGTCAGAAAGTTTAAAGGAATAGGGATCAAGTGACATAATACTTGTTTTATGGCCAGCCGGAAAAACAGAAAATTCTGAAAATAAGTTTGCAATTCCTTATCCTGCCCCCGGATGCTAGAGGACTGGTCGGAATTGGTGAAGGAAAACCACAAAATGGAAAGTTAACCTTCATGCTGAGGCTGAAACCGGAACTTTACCAAAAAAGATGGATGCAAATGGATTGTATTTCTTGAGAATGATTAGAAAAGTATACCTTGAAATCTTTTGAAAAATGGAGTAAATCTGAATGTTGCTTCAGACCTGTAACTATAACCATCTCTGTTAGAATGTGAATTTTACCTACTGCTGACAGCTATTTTGGTTCTGTTCCTGCTTGATAAATGGAAAACAACCAAGGAAAAATAAAGAACGAGTTATGAAATCTTTACTTCAGGACCAATAAATACTCCATCACTGATTTATTTATTTTTTTTGGTTTGACTGTGTCAGACAAACAGAAAACAAATAAAAATTATGTAATGATGACACAGTTTGTGGGAGTATTTTTTGTAAGTATCCAACCTCAAAACACACCTGTCATTCATCTAGTGTGCAGAGCATATTTATTACTTTTTATTTTACGGCCCAACATGGTCTGTTTACAGGCCTTTAACAACCACCGTTTATTTCAGAATAAGAATCAGAAACAGAAATACTTTAATAATCCCAGAGGGAAAATTATAATTTGCCATATTTGAAAAAAAAACGGTAGATTTATAGCTTTTTGTTTTTACAGTATCTTTGTTTTGCATTAGCGAAGGTTTGTTGCTTTTCTCTTTAAACTTAACAGCAAGCCCTTTGCTTTTGATATATATTCCACTTATCTATTAGTAATGGTCGTAACGTTCTTAGCTTCCAGTTTAGATTTTATAATTAAACATTCAATTAATCAAAGGGAAAACAAAACAACTTCATTCACAATGAAAACAATCACTTTTCTGCATGAAGGGACTTACTTGTGACTACCTCATACATAAGTAAAATTTCTAATTGTTTTTACTGGACTGTAGGACTGCTCACACACAGGTGTGTATTCAGAAACCCACCGATCTTTTCAAGAAGACTCAGAGCTGTACGTGGGGAGGCAGATGATAGAGGATTACAGTACAAAGGTTTGCTGGATAAGTTTGCTTCATTTGAATGTCAAATTGGGCTTCTTGGTCTGTTAGTGTGTGTGTGTACGTGTGTGTGTACGTGCGCGAGAGAGAGAGTGAGAGAGGGAGAGTGCGAGAAAGGGAGTGAGGGACTGGAAACACACGATGCAAATTCACTTTTAACCCCCCACCGCCCCAACCCTCTCCCACCAGGTCTCCACCCCCACCAACAGCACAGCCAGCCTCAGAGGCGAGGTTCCAGTATGAAAATGTCCAAAACATGCAAATCAGCCCCGATGCAGAGAGCCAGTGTCTGCACACACACTATACACACACACACACACACACACACACACTCATTAAAAATGGTGGTTGTTAACCAGCGCGCCGACACAAAAGGTCAGTCACAGCTCGTCAACAAAAGTTTCCTTTTCACGTTTCCTTTGGTTCTCAATGAGTCATTATTCTAGATTTAGTCAACAAAGTCCCCTAAAAAGAGTTAACGCCACCTGCCTGGTAGCGCCTCTAATACCATTACAAGAGGAGTCAGGAAGCTGTGCAAAATGTGAAGAAAAAACAGGACGAAAACGAACACAAATCTCATCAGTCAATATTTGTCTTTGACCGTAGAGCAGTCCAATGCTGACCGAGAGCCATTTGACTGTTTAGTGAAAGATATGAGCTCATTTTGAATTTGCTGATAGTAACAAGTCGAAAAAAAAAGTTGGGATGGAGGCAACAAAGAGCAATCAGGGCCATGCTGCAACCAGTTGAACATGTAAGTAAAAGGGGGAAACAAGCACCTTAGAAAGGGAGAATCTTTCAGAAGAGGGGCAAACATTCAGCAATCTACAAAAAAAAACGTTTGTGCAGATTGCCAAATACCTTTCCTAAATGGGAAACTGATTATTCCATATTTACATATCATGCATAATATCAACCAAAGATATAGAGAACATGGAGACATTTAAAAAAATGTGGTGAACGAGCAATCCTGGAGAGCCATGGTCAGGTGCCTGGGTGAAAAACACCAAACATCCTGGTCTTTAAACACAGTTTACCTGAATAACCATCCAGCTTGATGCTCACACACACTGTGATTCTAGATTCCAAATGGAAACGGGATGTTAAAGTGGCTCGGAAAATGAAAACTTTCACATCTGGATAGGAAGGTTTTACACCAACCTCAATGGATGGCTAACAGAAGAGTCTGGGGCTGAAACCACCTGCCTGCAGTCCAGGATCTTTAACAACTGAAACCATGGGGAGCATCATGAAAAACAACATATAAGGACCGACCAACAGATAGAAAAACATAAAACATTTCTCTCCTAAAGGTCCAACCGTTGGTCTTTCGTGGACAGATTGTACTAAAGAGCCAATCTAATAGTCTGTCACACTAAGTTGCTTTCTTAAACGCTCAACAACACACACAATTATTGAAACGTCACCCTGAGTCCAGCTAATTAGGTCCAGATAAACAAAAATTCTAGAGCAGTAAAACAATGATTGCAGCTGAAATTGTAAGTTGATTTCATCTACACAGCAGGACATTACATAAGGCAACATCTTTGTGTTATTTAATGTGATGGAATACCTTTATTCACATTTCCCAGGGGACAAAGTAGCTTAATTCTTTTTTTAAAAAGCCCAAAAACTTAACTCAACCACATGAACGCCTCACTTATTGAGCTTGAGTTTTGATGCATTTTGTTGGGCTTCATTTAACTCACAGACGCTGAAAAATAGGGAGTTAAGGAAGTTGTCCAACCTGACACCATCATTTTTTTCCTCTAGTTTTTTACAACTACGCTCCATAACCCGTTTTTTTAGATACTTTTCACTCAGACCTCATAGCTTTGCTTCACAAGCTCACATAAAGCATTCAGCACATTATAAACCTCCATATTAAGCAATCAAAATATGTTTTTTGTTTATACACAACTCACTGGCCTCGTCGGTAACAGTGTTCCATTTCACTGAAGACCAAAAAGCTCTTTCATTTCTCACATTTCACTGTGAGATGTGACGTCACAACTGAAGGCAAAAGTTTCTGGCAAATAGTTATCAATAATGTTCACACATAACTGCATTTTTCTTTAGGATACAAAAGTTTCCATTGGCTGATAATACTGTGTTTCATACGTCTGACATCAGAAAATAAAATCTGGAATAGAAAAAAATCAATCATATTTTGTAAACCTCGGTTTATTTGTGTAAAATTACTGCCAGAATATGACTTGCTATGTAAGTTTAACTAAATTAGGATTGTGTCTATAGTTGTTTTCAAGATTCATGTTTCTACTGGTGTGTTTTTAACATCAGTGTTTTTTGTTGTTGTAGTTTTGGGGTTTTTTTTGCTGTCCAAACTGTCCCCACACACCACTTTGGATATGAACTCACTGTATTTAATTTAATTAAACACAGCACCAGCATGATTCTGACATAGACGCCATGTCAATGAAGGGGACTTAACCTGGTGGTGTCTCTCCGTGTAGATACAGCTATTTTGTTGTGCATCTCTGAGGTATATATTTCCAATTTCATTCATTTTGATAAATTATTTTAAAAAAGCTATTTGTCCTAGAGGTCCTACCGATTGCATGTAACACCTTTTCAAATTCAAAATATGTATGTTGACCAAAAACAGACATTTAGCACTTCCATAAGTCAGAGGTATTTACTTCTGTCACAAAACCATTGTCCAAAGAAAAAGTTCCACTTTTTTTTGCCAGTGGTTCCTGTTTTGGTTTTCTTTTCTTTTTTTGCAACCGGCTGGTTTCCTCAGCCTCTGGGCAATCTGTTTCTCATAGCAAACAGCCTCAGGTGCTTTCTCGCGCAAAATCCAACTGCCACTTTACCTCCACACACACTCACAGAGGCACCCACATGCGAGCTTCCACTGAAACATGAGCGCTTAAATGATTATGCTTTATGTTTTCACATCAGCCATGAAGAGCAATCTGCTGCTTTATCCTCAAGAAAGCAAATATGCAAATAGTTTTCCTTTAAATGTCACTGTTCACTGAAAAAAACCTTTGACTAAAAATGATCTTAAATGGCTTTGAAAAGTCAGACTTGAATCCTTAGTCAGGCTGAGCTACCCAGGTCCTTCCACATAATCGACAAAAAATAAATATATATATCATTTATATGTAATTTTAAACATCCTTAAAATGAACTTTTATTATATACTATTTAAGTCCTAAGGATAAGAGATGAGTTAAACAAAAAACTTTCCTAATTTAAAGATGATTAACAAACTCTCTTAGAGAACTTCAGAGTGGGTAAAACAGAAGTTTTCTAGATGCATCTGTTGAAATGTAGTGTGTTGTGGTTGTGATTCAGGTGTGATGGAGGTGAAATATCCTTACCTGCCTGTTCAGCTGGAGCCTCCGACTGCTCCACCGCGTCTGCGCTCATCTTAATATCTGTAATGATAAATATAGCTGATTTTCCTACAGGATTGTAACTTTACCAGGACAGTGAAGTACTCAGGCCACCCAGGAAAATGATCTTGACTTTATTCTAATTTGCCCTCCCCTCCACACCACCGCACAAGCCGTGCACTCCCGCGTGAACCCTACTTATAATATTCATAAGCAAGGCAGCAATTCCCACAAAGCTCCTGCAACAGTTTAGTGTCTCTGGAGCAAATCTACCAGACATGAATTATGAAAAGTCAACTTAAAAATATAAGAGAATGATTGATGGAATGGAGACTCACCTCAGGCAAATGCTTTGCACTGTCCCAGCTTCTCTTTATCTCTCTGGGTTTTTCAGGAGGAAGCAAGCGTTGGGTGAAAAAGTTTTGGAAATTCACGGCAGCAGATGAGCATTTTCCTAAGTAGAGAAGCGTTCACCTCTGCAGTCCACCCTGCGCAGCCCGATGGGCCGATTTGCATATGTCTCTCTGCATCCTATCCAGCTTCAGGGCTCTTTGCATAAAACAACAATGGAGCCACTGCAAACGCGGCGCGCTTGTGTGTGCGTGTCCGCACAGAAAGGCTGAGTGGGGTTATCCTCCAAGTGCTTTGGATAACGAAGATGTCTGGATCAAACTTTCTGAGTGAAATAACTCGGTGTGATGGGGGGAGCGGGTCACCCCGCCTAAGATTTCCATAAAAGTCAGAAGGATGTGTAAAATACATATTTCAGAACACAGAACAATTACTTGTGAATGATTTAATGACCTGAAAAACAAAACCTGTCTAATATTGGAATGGAAAAATGTCATTGCGTGTGTTTAAATATGGGCTGATTTTCATTTGGTGTCAGCAATATATCTATTTCTACTTCACAGGGAGGGGCAAGTTTACAGCAAAGTGGCAACAAGTCTTGACCTGTCATTGTTTAGGGTCTCACTTATTTTGCTCTAGTTTTAAAAGGTGCTGCTTTAGTTTTGTGAGCTAGATTTGTCCTTATTCTGGCTTGATATAAATATATAACAATTTCCATGACTCTACAGTTCTTTTTTTGTGTATTTCTTTTTTTTGTTCCTTCCTATCCCACAACATAGCAGATATTTTAGGTGTGTACCACGGCAGGCCGCAAGAAGCAGAGTCTAACACTGGGGATATTTTGAGGGCACAGAAATATAATAAGTCTGGGATGTATTTTATCATTGTCCTACTGAAATCAAGATCTGCCATTAAAAGGTTCAAAGAGTAAGGCAGATTATTATATTCATACGTTCACAATGCCATGTATATTAATCCAAGTCCATACCAGGGGAATTATGACTTTATGTAACAACAAGTCTTATCTCAGAGGATGTGATATTTTTTGATTCACCTGATTTCAGAGTAATCGTACTATTAAAGTTTTTAAAAAGTGCAACGAGAAATAGTTTCTCAAACAGTATAAAACACTATAAAGGAACTCTGTACTTAGTTTGGTGTGGCTGACTACAATGGCGGAATGATAGTGAAGTAACTTGCATAAATCAGTAAAATTATTTAAATTCTCTTTGACTATGACAAAAAAATCAGCTGATCATACAACTCAACTATACTATACTCAACTTTACTCAACTATGAATTTGAGACTTACGATTTCAAAATGTGAAATTTTACCCACATCCTTTGTAAAAAAAAATAGTCAGGTGTGACAGGTGTTCCTTAACGGGAAAAACATCATTTGTGACGGTTTCTGATCATATCCTCTGTAATTCCGCAACATGCCCAGTAGTGGGCGATAAAAGGCCACAAGGCTTATGTCACGAGTGAAGCAGGAATATCAGATGAAGAAGAAACCCAGCCTTCTGATTGGTTATTGCTAGGGGACAAACAGCCTCAGACCCACCGCTGCTGCTACATCATCTATTAGGCTCGGACAGCAGCCCTCTTCTCTCCTAGAATTGGGGCTTGTTTGAAAGCTACGCTAGCCTGGCGGGAATACGCTGGGTGTTAGCATCCTTATTAAAGCGAGGCCTGGACTGGGGGAGACATTTTAGAACAATGCAGCCTTTTCAAACGGGTCGCTGACCAGGTGTGTCAACCGAAGCCAGCCCCGCGGAGAGGTGAGAGAGGCTGCCCGCTAAAGGCTCCGGGCTGCGGGCTGCCGTGGCTCTGAGTAGTGCGGACACGTTTTGGAGAGTTTTTCGGTGGGTTTGTGCTCACTTATGCCTCTGGTGTGCGGTGGTAATAGTTCTGGGTAGCCGCTGCAGCCCTCTTTTCTGTCTGTTTTCGACCACCGATGCTGGGCCCCCTTCTGCTGGCTTTCATTTTGGCACCCACTGCAAGCTAAAGACGACCATGACAGCCACGAAAACTGTCATGTTTTCGCTTTCATATGCCTCTAGGAGTTGTAGAAATACTGCAATAGAAAGCAAACCTCACTATATTATTAATATTCAGACACCTTTTTATGCTCCAACGTCTGGGTGAATTATTAGGAACTACAGCTTCTGCTAAAGTTAGTTGTAGACTAGATATTAGCATCTGTGGACTGTTTGATTTAACCCAATATACATCATACATCTATAAAAGAGTTGCAAGTGCAAAGATTACTTAGAATATTATCCTTAAAGCTTCAACTGATCTATTGGCTGCCATGTATGTGTAGTTGTGTTTTGGGGTCACATGAATGGTGAGAAAAGGTTTGGATTGAGGGAAGATGGAGCCTCATCATGAGGCTGAGAAGTGGAGCTGCAAACCATCTCAGTTCATGTCTTCTGGAATCTGTTAAAAAATGGCTGTTTAATGCCCTTAGGGACCAAAATGCAAGTTAATGCTCGGGGCTATTGGATGTACAGGGCAGGACAGCAGCAAAGTGGGCTGTAGGCTCAGCTTTTATGACAGGACGGGGTTATTCTGGAGCTTCTGGGGCAGGTTAGACCGGAGGTGTTCTCTGGGATGAAGGCACAGCACTCACAGGTTATCCTCTGGTCGTCTGGTTTACGGATCCGTTTGGTCGGGGGACACGTGTGAGTGATTTAGCCCCCGTGTGTAAAAGCTCAGGCTTTCTCTGCCCTCTACGTGTGAGGAGGTTGGAGTTGTTGTTACCTGGAAAACTGGAAAATGTCCACATTTTTATTTACTGTCACAGATGACCAAGACACGCTGAATTTGTCAGCCCTGCATGTAAAATTAAGCTGTAAATAATTTTTTTGTTGTCATAAATGGTTTATATTACTGATAATTACTTGTTAGTAGAGTTATAACAGGCTTCATTTCCCTTTCAGATAAGTGTAAAAATATTTGATACTGGTCAAATTTGAATGAAACTTTGTATATGGTGGTATCTTTCACTTAACTTCTACTAGTGAGTCAGAAAGTATTTGATTTAGTTTAAAAAATGGCTGTGAAGCATGAAAAGTTCACCTTCATTAATGCACTGTTATTTTAGGATCTAAAGTCATAAAGCTTCCTTATTGCACGTGCACTTTATCTAATGTCTTGTGGTGATTTATGCAATAAGAGGCTTGTTTTAAATTCTCTTTTGCACTTTTTCACTTACTTTCATTTGAATTTACATAACTGGAAAGGAGTTTAAAAAAAAATCTAAATCAAGGGACTGATTTGTCAATTAATAATCAGTTAATCAATGACCAGCTTGTTACAAAAAATGGGGAAATTCTAATTCACATCTCAATGTTTTAGGGTGTGAAAAACTAACGGACTGAAGGGCTGATGTGTTGCAAGTGAATTAAAACTTGAAAATGAAGGCGTAGACACAATACTGAAGCTTTTTTTGTGCTTCAAAGCATTTTTAAAAATTCTTTTTTATTGATTTGTCCTTTTCAGAACTCTTGCTTTAGTAGTTTCGTTTTGAGATAAGGAACTTCAAACTGGCTGAAATGGACGAACAAAGTGTCGAGGTGAGTATAGACCAGCCAAGATCTTTACTCCGTCCGGCTGTGCTGCGAGCCCCCGCCGCTGTACTCGGTGCAAAACCTGTCTCCCGTCTGCTCCCCAGAGCATCGCGGAGGTGTTTCGCTGCTTCATCTGCATGGAGAAGCTGCGGGACGCTCGCCTCTGCCCGCATTGCTCCAAACTCTGCTGCTTCAGCTGCATCCGGGTGCGCGCCTCCACACCAGTCAGGGGCCGGGCGCCGCCTCTGTGTGGCCATCCCAGAGATTTTTGTGACGTTTAAGGATCATGAAACATTGATGAATGTGATAATGAGTCTTCAGTTGCAAACACGGGACTCGCTGATGGTTTAGAAGAGTTTTAGTCTCTGTTTTGTTAGCAAATTTGACTTATTTTTTACAATTGTTTAATACAGAATTCACTGAGGTACATGGTTGTTTTCTCTCTCTTTGTTGACAGCGGTGGCTGACGGAGCAGAGGGCCCAGTGTCCACACTGTCGGTAAGCAGAACTGCATCACATCCCCTCGACCGCCATCGGTCAGTTAATGGCTGCTCAGAAATGTATTTGATCAAACGTCGCCACAAACGCACTATTACGAGACACAAATGACTCCAACCAGGTCTCGCATAGACAGGAATTAGTCCCTTTTATTGTGTGTGGATATTTAGCCAGGTAGATTTGAAGAAGGTGGTCATATTGGGTGTTAACGGCGTGTGTTCCTGCTCTCAGGGCGCCGCTGCAGCTGCGGGAGCTGGTCAACTGTCGCTGGGCGGAGGAGGTGACCCAGCAGCTGGACACCCTGCAGCTCTGCAGCCTGACCAAGCACGAGGACAACGACAAGGACAAGTGGGCAGCTCCCAATCTGCACCTACACTCAGTTTAAACGGGGGGGTTCAGACCAATGCCTCCTGTTAAAACATAGTTCTAATTGGGATTTCTCTTTTTATATAAAATCTGATTTTAACCACAGAACAGCCGTCAGTTCTCCATCGGCTCGTTCTTCCCGTTTTCCAAACGTCTCCCTCTGTCAGGTTTATGTGGAGCAGCTGTTAAACGCGGCCAGCTGTGACCTGCTTCTCGAAATAAGAAAAATCTCTCAGCGGCAACGATGTAGGACAGCCGTGTGAAGCTTTTCCGTCTCCGGCTAACCTGACCAAGTCGTGTTTTTGGCTTTTTAACTCACAGGTGTGAAAACCACCATGAGAAACTGAGTGTTTTCTGTTGGACCTGTAAGAAATGCATCTGTCACCAGTGCGCTCTGTGGGGAGGCATGGTAATGTTCCACACCTCTTATTCACACATTATAATCATCTTAACTATTCAATAATATATAATGAAACTTCGTAATGTTCTTAAAATTCAGCGATTTCAATTGAAGCCCTTAAATATCCCAATCTGTGAATCTTCACACTGGGGATGATGGACCCTGTCACCGATGGGTTTTTTCCCCCTCTTGTTTGTAGCACGGTGGCCACACTTTCAAGCCTCTGGTGGAGATTTACGACCAGCATGTGACCAAGGTGAAGGAGGAGGTGGCAAAGCTGCGGCGCCGCCTCATGGAGCTCATCAGCCTGGTGCAGGAAGTGGTGAGGATCCGTTCTTTTATGTTTATTTTTATGTATTTAAAACAAACTGGCACAGTCCCTCTGCATAAAGCTTTCCTTTGCCTAATCCAGAGGCACGTGTCTAATGTCATGAATATAGAAATCAGAAACGCCTTGATTTAAAAGCAGTGAGGTCGGAATGCGTGTGATCCAATTGAGGTTCCTTTGGCAGCTGTTGGATTGAAAGTCTCCCTTTATAACACTGAGCTGCTTAAACAAATACAAAATACAATGTTATTTCTCTAAAAACTGAAAAAGTAGCCCGTTGTTGGATCTCTGAAATAAACTGGCTATCAATTATCATTGAATAAATTCAAGAAAAATAATAAAATTGAATTTTTTAGTCAAACAAACCACTATTTAAGCTTCTTTGTCAACATGGGAGGCAAAAGAGTGATATAGAAATATAATGGGACGGAAATCCCCACGTCTCTGTGTCCAACATTTAACTAGCCATTTGAAAAGCTCACTTAAGGTGAATGTTTGAATGTTAAAAGAGCACTTTGTTCCGGGCTGCCGCTCCTCTCCCGTGGGCAGCCCTTTTCCCATTCGAAGAGGGCCGAAAGCGCCTCTCTGCTCCAGCTGCTTCCTGTGTGTCGCTACAGAGGCGGAATGAGTCAAAAACGATGCAAAGCTGGCACACCTTGTAGCCAGCAGCGCAGGTAGAGACGGCCAGCAATGCTTCAGCACATCCTGGAGGCTGCGCTTTTTCAGAACGGGTGACAAATTCTGCGTTTGAAGTTTGTTGAAAGCCCTAAAATCATTGATATTCAATAATCCCGCAGCACCTCAGGTCACAGGGTCAGGGGCTGTTTTGGAGGTTTAGGGACCAATGGTCCGTCATATTTTTATAGGCCTCACATCTTTTCAGCTCCTTTTAACCCAGAAAAACATCCTGAGCCCATCATAAGGTAAAGCAAAGCGAATACAGGCTGACCAGAGAGGGTTGTAAATAGAGAAATAGTCAAGCCTTTCCCTTTATCTGGATATCTGTGGTTTGAAGCTACCTGTTGTTTTTACAGGGAGACATGCTAAAGTAGACTCTGATGAAGGAGATCAAAGAGTGTCACAATCTAAAGCACGGAGGGAAGGCTAATGACTCATTTCAGAGATCGGCCTGTCCCTCACAAACAGGTTTTACCGCGTGCGTCCTCTAGATGGCACTAATGCGCTTCTCTGTGCTTGCTGGGTCAGGAGAGGAACGTGGAAGCCGTCAGGGGGGCGAAGGACGAGAGGGTCAGAGAGATCCGGAATGCTGTGGAAATGATGATCGCTCGTCTGGACAACCAGCTCAAAAACAAACTCATCACCCTCATGGGTAGGACTCCCGCACCGCACACTGCCACGGCACGGGGGGGCGGGGGGGGCAGAGAGGCGTCTGGATGTCGGTCACGGATCAGCGTAGAGACAAAAGCCTTCAGGATTGTACATGAGACATGACTCAAAGTGGGGGAAAACACACTTGTTGAATTCAATGCGGATCGGAGCAAACGCAGAGTGTTTGTTGAACTTAATGACCGATGAGTCAGAATACTGCCGCAGCTCCACAGTAAGCAGTCGCATCTTGTTAAAATGACGGTGCAGTTCCTTCACATCTGCAGAGGGAGAAGGAGCTATGAATGTGCTGCTTGGATGCGGGGTCAGGGCATGAGGTGTCCCCATGCGGGGCAGGGTAGGGGCCACAGATTCAAACAGGACTAAAACGGGAACACGCTCTCTTTGGGTTTGGCAGCTAAAACGAATTCATCCCAGTTTAGCCGTGCAGTTCAGGAGGAATGTGGAAGTCGTGTGTGAACGGCAGAATCAGTCCCTCTCAGTAAATGTAAGGAGCTGTCTGTCGTGATGTGGTGCCGAGAGCCTTTTATAGACACGGGCAGCGCGCGGATGAAATATTTATCTGGAGCGAGTGCGTGCCTGCTCTCAGCACCCACACACTGCAACCTGCCCACCCACCCACTCTACACACTCACCAGCTCCTGCCATGACTCGCCTTCCGCAAAAGCCGACTGAAAATAGAAACTGCCTTCCTTCCCACCAGGCCAGAAGACGTCCTTGACCCAGGAGACGGAGCTGCTGGAGTCGCTGCTGCAGGAGGTGGAGCATCAGGTTGGCGGCCCCCGGCAGATTTAAAGCTCCCCTCGTTTAGCCACGGTCGACTCCAACAACACAACGCGGGCAGCGCGACGACACGCTAGTAGCTTTTAAGGCCATAGATAGATAGATAGATAGATAGATAGATAGATAGATAGATAGATTACTTTATTCATCAAATTTGGTCCAGTATTGTACAAGTTAAAACTAAATAATATGCCGTCCTGTAATTAGTCCAGTTCTGCTCTGACTGGGGCAGATAAGTTGTAGAGTCTTATTTTCGTAGGTAAAGAACGATTTCCTGTTTCGTTCTTTAAAGCTGCGGGGTCTAATGCTTCTGTTGCTGAAGCTGCTCTTTAGCCTGTCTGAGTTTTGTGGAGGAGGTGGGAGGGTTTGTCCATGACGGACAGCAGCTTTGCTAGCATCCTGTCCTCCACCTCCTCCTCCAGGGTGACGAGCTCAGAGCCAAAAACAGACCCAGCTCTTTTAGCGAGTTTATTCAGTCTGTTGGCGTCCTTTACCTTGATCCTTTACCTTGATAAAGTGTGTAATAGCTGCAGAGTTTGGGAGGATTAATTTTACAACCTGCGATTGTATCACTGGAACTATTGACAGTTTAAGTTACAAGCCCTGAGTGAGTGATGTTTTATTGTTAGGAAGTGTTAGTTTAATTACAGATTTATTGAGTCATTTATGGTAGTGTTGGATGACCATCCATCCCTTCACATCGTATTATTCTGCTGAATAAACGGAATAAACCTGCTGGTTGATGTGATCAAGATGACTGATTACATAAACCTAAGTTAGTGACTAAGGCAGCAAATCCTTATTTATTTACCATTTAGCTGCATGTTTGTGATCACAACACAAAAGACTTGACTGTGTATGTGTGTGTGTGTGTTTTTGTCGAGCAGCTTCACTCCTGCAGTAAAAGCGAACTGATCTCCAAGAGCCCAGAGATCCTGCTGATGTTCCAGCAGGTCCATCGGAAGCCCATGCAGTCCTTCGTCACCACGCCGGTGCCCCCAGACTTCACCAGGTAGTCTGCAGCCGCCACCCACAGCAGGCGAAGTTTTTCTGTGTGTGTTAACGGGAGACTGCAATGATAGTAACGTCCATTCCAAACTCTGTTGTGTTTCAGTGAACTGGTTCCTGCCTATGACTCCAGCACTTTTGTTCTAGTCAATTTCAGGTAAACCCCCTCTTAGGCTGCACGTGGTCAAAGAAACGGCTGATAAAAAAAAGTATTATTAATACGATTACTGTTGATATAACAACATTTTCAAGTACAAAGTGACTAGATAAATCAATGTACATGAATATAAAGCAGTAATGCAGCACAGTTGCAATAATAAACACACTTTTTTAAGAAAATGCAGCACACTGATTAGGTTGTGGGTTACTACTTGTCAGCTAATAATGGAACACTTTTTTATTTTTTTTAATGGCTGTAAATGGAAAAATATTTAGTAACTGCTGGAGGATTGATGTGTGAGTCTGTTTGCAGCACCCTGAGGCAGCGGGCCGATCCGGTCTACAGCCCTCCTCTGCAGATATCCGGCCTCTGCTGGAGGCTCAAAGTCTACCCTGTGAGTGTGTTTTCCCCTCTTCCAAACATGCAGAATGTCTCGGACGGACCGTTTGATTAGGAAAAGTAACTTTTTTTAATGTGTTTCCTCAGGATGGAAACGGTGTCGTCCGTGGAAACTATTTATCCGTGTTTCTGGAGTTGTCAGCCGGACTTCCTGAAACATCGAAGTATGGAAAAGTTTGTGTGCTGCACATGGATTTGGTTGAACCACATCTGACCTATATGCTTACCCTACATTTACAAATAATTCATTCTGAGGACATTTTGAGTCTTTTCTTGGTTTTTAAGCAAGTCATGTTCTCATAATTTAGATGAAATTAAATCTTAAACTTAATCTTATATCACTTAAACCAGTTGTTACTGCTTCAAAACACCTGATATTCCCATGCCTATAATTTAAAAAAAAAAATCGTTTTTCTTAAAAGATCTTTTTCTTAAAACTGGATTTAATAGGGACTTCACTTTTTGTTATTTTCGTTTGTATCATTAATATTAGAATGAAGTGAAATTTTAAAAGAACTGCTTTGCATTTTTCAGTATGGTACCAGAAATGTCAGCTTTGTCTTCCTCAGAGGGATGGAAGTGCTCCTCTCTTTAGTTTGTTAGTGGGAGCAGGAAGTGTGCAGATTGCTGGGCTGTTTGAAGTCAGAAGCTCTGAAAAACAAAAGGTGTTGCAACGGGTCCGTCAAGGAATTCCCTTTTTAGATCACTCGCTGTCCCAGTCCTGTTGGAAAAAAATCAATCTCAAACTCCCACTCCCTCTTTGGATCTCTGATATATATCGGTATGTGGTCCGTATGTTGACTGTCTACCTTTGATCTGTGTAGATACGAGTACCGTGTGGAGATGGTCCATCAGGCCTCCAGTGACCCAACCAAGAACATCATCCGGGAGTTTGCCTCTGACTTTGAGGTCGGGGAATGCTGGGGCTACAACCGCTTCTTCAGGCTGGACCTCCTGGCCAGCGAGGGCTACCTGAACATGCAGACCGACACGCTCGTGCTCCGGTGGGCTTGGATGCACACACACACACACAAACACACTTTTTTCCCCTCCTTTGCATTGAGTAACAGACTGTAATTACTCTTTGTGTGCTGCACAGCTACCAGGTGCGCTCACCTACGTTCTTCCAGAAGTGCAGAGATCAGTACTGGTACATCAGCCAGCTGGAGTCTGCCCAGAGCGGCTACATTCAGCAGATCAACAACCTCAAAGAGGTACTCTGGTCAGGCTGTTTGTGTGTTTGTGCGATTACATAAACTGACCCAAGCTCTTGGATGAAGGTTATATGTGTTTCTACATTATGAAATCGGTCCATTCCGGCCTAATCTCACCGTGCGCGTCCCATTTCAGAGGCTGGCCATCGAGCTGTTTCGCCGCCAGACGTCTCGCAGCTCCTCGCCCCCCGACCTGAGACCCGCCGCAGGCGCCGCCACCTCCGAACGAGATCCCCGCTCGGCGAAAACCGACGAGGACGCTCAGGCCACTTTGGGCAGCACCAAAAAAGGCGACGAAGAGGAGCGGACCCAGCACGACGACTCCAACGTAAAAGCTGGGAACGGTCGATCCAAAACTCTGGAAGCCGCTGTTTTTTCAGCTCAGCTAACGGTGTTGGTCGTCTCTTTGTGTTCAGGAGCTGTCGGATGGAGACCTGGAGGTGGACTGTCTGACTGAGGAGGAAATGAACCCGCTGGATGGTAGCAGCACCTCGGGGAGCTCCACAGCTACCAGCAACACAGAAGAAAACGATATCGATGAGGAGACCATGTGAGCAGGACTTATCCAAATGTAGCCTTCTGTCAAAGATTCAAAAAGTTTCACACCTCTCTGTATTTCTTGCTCAGGTCCGGAGAGAATGATGTGGATTTCATTGGGAACCTGGAGATAGAAGAAGGAGAGCTTCCTGAGGACCTGGCTGGAGCCACTGGTATGACTCAGCATACTTCTATTTGTATCTGTTTTTTATATATATATATGAATAATTGATCTGCAGCGTTTTTAAAGCTGTTGTTTGAGAGCAGGTTTCATGTCCCCCGCTCCATGTTCTCCAGCATGAGCACTGGCACATCAGACACATGCAGGCAGCTCAGATCACACCCGTGTTGGGTGTAGTAAAAGTAGAACTGTGTGCCTGTCTGTTGCTGGTTTTTAGACTACATGCTGCAAAGAATGATTAGTTTTTTTAAAGATGGCCATTTTAAACAAAAGCTCTACGGTTTGGTTCATACATTAAACAAAGGCATGAAAGCTGTAGCATGCGTCCACTATATTTGACCCATTTCTTTAGGTTGTACCCCGCCTTTAACTGCTTTGTTACCAGCAACCTGTCACGACTTTGTGTGTTAGATTTTCTTTGGTTTCGGTCTTAAAGCAACAGTCTGACTTCACCCAACGAGATGATTCCCAAACAGTGCTGAGAGTTGCAGAGCATAAGTATATTTGATGACTTTCGGATGTGTCAAATAGTAAAGTTGAACTTTAGTGTAGCAATTTAAGCCATCTGGAGCTACTTACTTTTTCAAGTAACTATAACCACCAACACTGCTGACATGTTGACTGGTCAGCATGAACAGTAGTTTTTTTTTCTATATAGTTTCTATATATTTCTATATTGTTTTATATTATTGGGAAATGAAAGAGTTTTCACTCTTCCAAAGAGCTATACATTTCAGTTTATCAGGTCCTCAGGACTGGAGAACAGTGTTGCATATGAGGCACCTGTAACCTGGAGTGTTTGTGAGGATTTGACCTGTGATTTGCAAATACTCAGCAACTTGACTCACAAACTGGTGGGAAACTGAAGAAAATCGTTCCTGTTTTTTTTATGAATATCTAAATGGTTTTGGGCCTCCTTATTGATTTATTTATTTATCTGACCTGCTTTTAAATAAGACCTTGCAGACCCTACCGGCTACCAGCCTTTTAAAGAACCATATTGTGTTGTGTGTGTGTGTGTGTGTGTTTGTGCATGAGATGAAGTTATGATCAGGTGTGCATTTATATGTTTCTTAGTTCGAGTGTATGAGGACCTGAGATTAACATCCTTTTAATTAGTTTTTATGTGAAGCACTTTGTGTTGCTTTTTGATGATGAATTGAAAATCCAACATTCATTTTCCAGTACTTCTATAAATATTAGAAAGGAAACTTCTCTTCTGCTGAGGTTTAGACATTCCTTAACGTCAAGACCTGGTAAAGCAGGGTGTTTTAATTTCCCCGGTGCACAATAGCACCATCTCCAAACAGAAAGACGGCTTTAAGAAGAGAAAAAAACAAATGGAATTCAAAGCGTATGAGCAAAAATAAATAAATAAATACAACCTCAAACTGAATGTACCAGGTAAAGCGATGGATTAATCAACCAAAGTGGATCCTAAATTTAGTTTCTGATTCCATGATTGAAACCAATCACACAAATGAGTAAAGAGACGGATCACTTCAATGAGAGAGTGTAGGAAGCTCCACCACCAGCCCGATGACTCCATCAGGGGTCAGAGGTCACCAGGCAGTGGGATCTATGTCCTGCTCAGGGTAGCTGGGAACTGGTTCTGTTTCTGTTCAGAACATTACTGGTTTATTGTAAAATAAATAAATAAATGGAGCTCTAACCATGATGGCATCATGACTAAGAGGTGCAGCTGCCTCTGGGTTTCTGTTCATGTGTTTCCTCTGATAGCTTCTAAATCAGAACACAGGTTCCCAGAGTAACCGCTATGAATAGTCTTTACAGCCCTGACAGGAACGCTGCACGTATGTCTTCCATTTTAAGTAAATATTTCAGAACTGAGATGGTGTTATTTATCAGAAAACACTTCTTAAGTCCAGCTCTGTGCCTCTTTAACCATCAAATATATAACTAAAGCCTCTGTGTTCTCTTCAGTTGATGCAAATTGTGATTAATTTTATTTTTATTGAAGCAGAAGCTGGTGATGGGGTAGTGAGTCTTAAAGCAGCTCGCTCGGTGTGTTGGGCTGTGTTGGTGTTTAAAGGCATGAAAAGGATGAGTCACTGCTGGTGCTCTGCCCCGTGCAGCCTGCTGATATAGAAACACTCAGTGTGTGTGTGTGTGTGATTTCCTTTTTTAAAAATGTATTACAGTGAGGACTTTCACTGAGTTGAGTACCCTGGAGTTGGGCCAATCAGAGACTCGTGTCGTGCCTATAGACACCATTTTACTTGAGGTTCTGCTTTACTAGTATTCAGGGAACTACTGCTTTTGGGGATTTTTGGGCACAGACTAATCTCATAACCCTGGAATCGGGTTATTACCATTCAACAGCAAATGGTAAATAACAGGAGAAGTCACACTGTCTGCAGGAAAAGCTGGAATCATCTCACTTCCACTCATCTCTCATATGGGCTCCTCAAACCTTAGATTTCCCCTTTTGGTCCATTTGTCTTTATTTTTAGTTTTTAGAGGAAAAACTGATGCCTTCTGGTGCTATTGATGCTGCATTCAATATGAAATGGGGAAATCAGGATTTCCAACCTCTGACAACTTTTAAAAGTTTCACAATAACTAAAAGTTTTTTTTAAATGAAGATATTTGTAGCACCATCAGACATGTGATTACACAACCAGATCAGTTGGATGTTTGCAGAAAGGCTCTATGGTGGATTTTTACTTCTGATAATGCACATAAACAGTAAACGCCGCTCCGCCCCCCCTGCAGGTGGACCCGGCTCCGGTGTGCGCCCCCTCCCTCGCGGCGGCGCCGGCCGCAGCCCCGGCGGAGCGGCGTCCGGCGGCGCCGCGGGGCCGGCCAGCAGCAGCAGCCTGCTGGAGATCGACCCGGTCATCCTCATCCAGCTGCTGGACCTGAAGGAGCGCAGCAGCGTGGAGTCTCTGTGGGGCCCCCAGCCCCGGCCCCCCGCCTCTCTGCTCCCCACCCCAGGGCCCAAAGCCCCCCCCCCCCCCTCACACCTCACCGCCAACAGATCGTTCCCCCTTAACCCAGAATCCATAATCAGAGCCCGCACACACACAGAGATCCTCCAGTCAGAAATCACTGGCTTACAATGAGATTAGTTTGTCCTTTAAATCCTCAACAGAAGTCTGTTCTTTTCACATGAGCTTTTCTGCTCTCTGATGCCAAATAACACAAGTCTTAACACACAAAAAACACACAGGATTAAATACTAAGATATGAATAAATTAGTTTAGACAACACAAACTGAGGAAAAACCTCTATGTACCTAATGTGATGCCACCACCGGACATCCAGTGCACAATAGCTCAACCTGGACGTTTGTTTCTGCTGCGTCTCCTCCCATTAGCGCACGTGCACTCCAGGAAGGAGCGGGAGCGGCGCCCCCAGGTGGTGCGGCGCTCCGCCCCCGACTCGGGCGTCCTCATCCGCCTCAAGGCCCAGATGGCCGAAGTCCGCAGCAAGATGTCCGACGTCAAGAGCCAAGTGCTGGAGGCGCGGGGGCCGGGGGAGGCCAGGCCCTGCCCGGCCCCCGGGCTCTTCGGGGGGGAGGAGATGCTGCCTCACCCCAGCGACTCAGAGATGGCCGCCTGCCGGAAGGCCAGCGAGCTGGACATGGCGGGGAGGGCAGCTGCTGCCCGGTCCAGGCCCTGCCGCCCCGGTAAGAGCTGCCACACAGAGAAGAATTAGAACCCAACTAAAAATACCCTCATCATCCTCCTACATGCAGATGAAACCGTTTGTATAGTTGTGTGAATAGCACAAGTTGAGAGGGAGACTTGGGCTCCCTATTAACCCTAATCTACAGAGGGGGAAATAAGTATTTGACCCCTTGCTGATTTTGCAGGTTTGCCCACTTACAAAGAATGCACCGATCTATAACTTTAATCATATGTACATTCTAACAGTGAAAGACTCCCAAAGAAAATTCCAGAAAATCACATCTAATGAATTAATAAAAATTGATAACCATCTGATGAGGAAAAATAAGGTTTCTTTGTAAGTGGGCAAACCTGCAAAATCAGCAAGATGTAAAATACTTATTTCTCCCACTGTATGTTCTTTGTCAGAGGCATCCATTATCAAACCAACAAAACAGACAGTGTTAGGATTGTGTTTGCATTATTTTCTGTATACAAAGTTCCAGTAATCCAGTTAGCCATGACAGAGCCTTGTGCTGCTTTATTTAAACTGATGGATCTCCTCAGATGTACCACATTATATGTAGTAAACTCTTCAGTTTTGGGTCTTTTTACTTTATGTGGACAGGATTCACTAGAATGAGCTTTATCGTATTCCTCCTGCTTTGCTTAGTATGTTTATATATGCCTCTGTGTGTGTGCTTTCAGCCAGGAAGTCTTTGTCCCCGGTCCTGGACAGAGACAGTTCTCTGGTCATGAAGAAGAGGAGGCCAGAGGAGATGGATGAAGAGCTGAGAGGGGCCGAGGAGCTGGTCCTGCATCCTAAAGACGGGATCGGAGGAGCAGAGGGTCAGTGGTCTCCTGACTTCCACCCGCCTTTAAAGCCGAAGGATTCCCCCGCTTCCAGCTGTTAATTCCACTCATAATCTGGTTTTAGTAGTTTTAGTTATTTGCCGAAAGCTTCCTTATATGGTATAACCAGGTCATTCATAGGGTAAAAACAAGATGGTGACTCATAAAACTTATATATGTATTTTTTCATCTCCCAGGAGCTAATAAAAACTCTTAGAGGAGTTTTTTCTGTCTTCTCATCAGTGCCTGTGGCAGCCCCATGTTATGTATACTCAGTAGGTTTATTATTGGGGGGGAAATACTGATTAAAGCAGCTCTGAGGGATATGAATAATATGTTTGCTCTTTAAAAAAAAATGGCTGAGTGCTCTTGACGAGTTCAACTGCATGCTTTGAGTATTTTAAAGTATGTTCTTGTTCCACTTGAAACCTGCTCTAAAAGAAAAAAAAAAAGCTTCTTTATCTACTTCTCTCTCCTCTGTGACTGAAAATAGTCCCCAATTCTCAAGTGGCCCGTCTGCGATAAACTGTGGGCTGTTTAGCCTTTTTCCTCTTAACACCGTGTTGTGTACGTCCACGTTTCAGACTGAGTCCACAGCACATTGTTTTCCATTTCACAGTTCCTTCCACGTATTAACACGTCAGGAGGACTTCTGTTGTTTTTTTTTTTAGAAGCCTACAGACAGGGGTCTGGGTAGAGTTACTCTCCCGCAGGTTCCCAGTATGAAACCGATAAATCTCTCCTGTCTGTTCCAGGAGTGCTGAAGGCCGAGGCCATCACGGGCCCCCTGGTGACCCTGGTCAGCTGCTCGTCGGAGCAGGCCCCCCCCCCCCAGCCGCCGTACCCCGGGGAGCAGCAGCCGTACGGGGGCTCTGCGTCCAGGGACGAGGTGTTCTCGCTGGGGGGGGGCGGCCAGAGCTGCAGCAGCAGGGCTCTGGGGTGAGACCCGCACCGGCCACGCTGACCGCGCTGACCCCCCCTTCTCTGTGTCTCATAACTCTGTCATCTGCTCTCGCTGCAGGGCGGCCATGCTGGACTGTGAGGCGGAAAGCTCCGGAAACTCCCATCAGTCTCTGCTGGAGGCCGTCTCTGCAGAGCCTCAGTCAAACGAGGGTCAGTTCCTCTTCAGAGATCACCTCCCTGCATCTCACTGAAGAAAATATACATCCTGTAAACGTGCCTTTGCTCCGACAGGAAAAGAGCTTGGAGAAACTGGCTCAACAATAATTAATAATTCAATCTAATTAATAGAATCCCTCAATCATCTTCACTCTGTCTACTCTGTAACTGGACAGCAGTGGACAGTCGCACATCCAGTGGAGGACTCTGGGCTCTAATTTACTAAAGATTGCTTAGATCACAATTAAAGTCTACATATGCTCAAAAACTTAAAATGATCCCAAAAAACAATTCAGACGGTCAATGCAAAGCACTTCATTAATGTCACTGTGATGAGCCAGCTCATCAATCTATGTCATGGTTACCAATGGCAACCACGAAGAAAAGAGCAAAGCAGTGCAATTTCACAGAGGCAGAAATCCTTGTGTTGAAGAGATGGGGAGCTGAAAAACATGGTGTCACTCATATTTACGCCGGTTCCGTTTGGAAAACTGGATATCTATGAGAGGTTGCACATTTTCCTGTTCAGTTTCCGGCCCTTTCTCCTGAATTGGAAATCCCAAAAAAGTCTTGATGTATCAACCGCTTGACCCAACCCTCTTTCACAGTATGTAACTCTGGGGTAAAATAAAAAAAATATATATATATGTATATATCGGTGACATTATTATGTCACCATAATTATACATATGTTTTCAATGACACCTAGAATTCTTAATTTAGTTTAATGTATTTATCACATTATCTCAATCTAAACAAAGTTCCTGGTTCAAACACATTCCCCCAAAACTTGCCTATTATGTCCAGATGTAAAATTCCTACTATCAGTTATAATTACTTTTTAAAATTGTTGTTGTTCTTATTGCCATTGTTGTTGTTGATAATGACAATTGTTTAACAAATCGATTAGTTTATCTATTATTTATTTGCGCATTGGTTATACTCTTAATTAAAAACATAATCAAAGTTTTACTAATATTATTTGTAACTTTTAATCTAGTTATTACTCTTCTATTAAATAAATGTCAATTTGATGTCATTTAGAGTGAAAAATGAAGAAAATTAAAAAATTATTTATGAATTTTGGAGTAGAAAAATAGTTGAACAGCTCGTGGAGTAGTGCTGTCTGACCGTTTATCCGCTGTGTGTGTGTGTGTGTGTGTGTGTGTGTGTGTGTATGTGTGTGTGTGTGTGTGTGTGTGTGTGTAGGCCGGTCTCCGTCTGTTCTGGTAGCAGCTACGAGCAGCGACAGCGACACGGACGACGAGGCCCAGCAGAGCAGCAACTCCCGCTACGACAACCACACCCCCCCCTGCCCAGGTACACCCCCCCCCCCCCTCCATACACGCTCACAGGGCCGAGGCCGGGCAGATTCACACCGCGTCGGCAAAACGCTTAAATACGAACACGCATTTCAAACTGGGCTTCTGTCAGGTCAGGGGACCCAGTTTTAGGAAAGAGTGCATTTAAAAAAGAGCCTGAGTCTTTTCTCTTATTTTCTCCTTTCTCTTATTTCTCTTATTATTACAGAAATCGGGGGGAGGGGGGGGACCATGAAACCATGTTGGGACAAATTCCTTCCCTGTGTCGCCTAGTGCTTGCTCATGGTGGGAATTGTTGGGTTTCTGTAATTAACTTCAGAGTAGGGTCTGACCTGCTCTGTTTGGAAAGCTGTGAGACAACTGTTGTTGTGAAGTGGCGCTATAGAAATAAAATTGAATTGAATTAAATCTTGGTGGTTATCAGTTAGAGATGTGAAAGGGTACACCTTAAAAACACATCATCTGAAAAAACAAAGCAAATTAAAGCATCGTAGATTAAATCCTGGGTCCACATATGAGGTGGGCGGTCAGGCTGAGATTTAAGCTCAGCCAACAGCTACTGGCTCCTCGTTCTGGGAATCAGAGGTTATTAAACCAATTAGTCAATAACAACAACAAAAGCCATTTTTTTTAACAAACTGCCTCTTTGATGGAAAACCTCTTTAGTGAGAAATAAAGCTGCTGCTGTGTGACTGCTAGCTATTTTTAATTATTTACACAAAGTAAATAAAGCAGCCAACTCAAAGAAGATTTTTATTTGGCCGTCGTTTTCTTTATTGTTTTTTAACAAAGCCTGTTATGGTAGTTGCGAATCTTCTTTGGGGGGGGATTTGCTAAAGTGAGGAGTTTTAATTAATTAATTAATTATTTATTCACAATTGAACCCGCCCAACGTCTCCTTTTAATCCATTTATCTCTGTATGTCTGTACAACATCTGTCTGAACTATAACATCTGTCTTTAAATGGAAATATGCACAAATAATGTCGGTGTTTCAGCCCCAGCTCCTTCTGAGAAGGATGACCTGTGTTTTCTCTCCTCTCTTCCAGGAGAACCGCTCCTGTCTGAGGACGTGAGCCTGCCTGCTGATAGGTGATCCCCCCCCCACCCCCCTCACCCCACCTCACCCCCCCTGCAGAGTGGGAGGAGCTTAACTCAAAACGGAAGGAGACGATGCTACAAACCCTCCCTGGACGTTTTCAGACCTGGACCCAGACATTGGGTTCAGGTTTCTGGTTCCTGCTTCAGTCCAACTGCCCCCCCCAACCCAACCCCCCCATCAGAGGGCTTTTTCACTTTTTCTACTCCTCCTCCATGCTTGCTGGTCACCGTTGTAAAGGGATGTCCACACACAGACATTCACCGGTCAGTCACCAGGGTAACAACATGCTTAGTCACTTTAATTTACCTTCAACACGTCTCAGTCAAACCTCTATTTTTACATGTGTGTGTTTTTGTTGTGTTACTCTGCTGATGTGTACTGCTGTGGGTCTGAGCCTCAGGCTCCAACACCCACTCCTTTTTTTTTATTTTATTTTTTTCAGCATCAGTACTAAAGACTTTATTCACTTCTTAAACGCTCGCTTTTTAAAAGCACCGACACCTGTCAGGACTCTGAAGGCAGAGTTTGTTTTTTTTTATTCTGCCTGTTCTGTAAATGCCTTCACCGTTAAGAACAGTCAGCTGCGTTTTGTTCCGTTGTTTGGCATTTGAAAAAGAGGCCGGACGCTGACCGCAGCGCATCGGTCAGCCCTCTGCGTCTGTGGGCAGAGTCCAGACGGGGGCCGGAGCAGGTGTGCTCTTTTTGGCTTGTTTGTGTTGTTTTTTTTGCCTCAGCATCTGCTTGAACAGCTCCCTCCGGCCCCCGCACCGCACATTTAGTATTTATTTTCTTAGAGGGGCTCAGAGGGTGGAATTCTGGATTCTTCTGGGGACTTTTAAAGGGACAGTTCACCTGATTTACTACAACCCCCCCGGCCCTCTGGAGCTGTAGAGATTTAGTTGTATTTGTTCAGGTTCTGCCACATCTGTGTGCACATAATGTAACAGTGGTAGATGTAGCCACACTTACACATTTAGGATATATTTTGAGATATATTTAAATATCTTTGTCAGTATTTTGGTGTTAAACATCTCCACGAATATCCAGGAACGTTCAGATATGAAGAGATTTCGGTCAAAGCGTGAGCTTAGAGTACTTTTCTTGACACTGGCTGAGCTGGAACCACAGTGTATATTCAGTCCCAAACACAGATAAGGAAACCCACCGTTTTGCGCTCCCTCTGAGCTGGATCAGTCGGGGGGGCGGGGGGGGTTATGTAACGCCGCTGTGCGGCTGGCTTTTCCTGATGGATTTATCATTTCTCCCACCAAACAGAGCAGACACTAACTCAGAGGTAGACACAGTCTTTGCAGAGCTCGGTACCTTCTGGGACTGTTTATTGGGGGTCAAGTGGGGCCCCGCCCTCCTTGGAAAGCCATTTCACCTGTATGTGTGTGTAGTGGACTCTTCCAGTCATTAGTTTACACTGTAAATAAGCCCCTCTCTATACCTGTGTGTGTGTAAATACTCGTGGAGCTTGCTGTGCACGTGCCTGAAAGTGCATGGCTTTACTCGGCCGGACAAATGGACGACGGACGTCCGGTTCCTCACCGATCATGTGACTTCCTGCTTCTCTGCTGTCCCCCCCCCGCTGCTGACAGGAAGCAGCCAGAGTCCTCATGCATCCCCCCGTTTGTTAAAAAGCCCGTTCAGCTTTGAGCCACCCCCGAATGCATCGCTCAGTATTCGCTTTTGTTTTTGTGTAATAAATAAAATGTTTTACGCTGACACGTGTGTTCTTTTGTCCCCGGCCATCATTTTCCACTTTGTTGGTTTTGTTTGTTTCCCTGCTGATGCAGTGAGGACAAGGTAGAAATATAAAATGGATGTTGTCACAGGTGAGATTTTAATGGCTCAGCCTGAAACCGACCGAAAAAAATAAAAGCAGGGTCAACCAAAGGTGCATAGTTTAAAAAATGACGGACACAAAAAAGTCAAAATAATTAATAGTTTTGCTAATTTCACTGGTGTAAAAAAAGATAACTTACTTAAACAGGTTTAGCTTTAATTTATTTAACTTAAAGTAATTGCTATGACTCTTTGCTCTGTCCAGAGCATTCATGATGTCGGACAGGAGGAAGAATCCATCTTTTCTCCACCAGCCGTGATAAGGAGAGCAAAAGTCTGATTATGAGGTTTTTTTAATATTATAGTGGGGAATGTGGAGGACCATTTCCTTTTGTAAAGCTGTTTATGTAAGAGCGGAGCACGGCTCTGCTCTCCTACCTGCTCCACTCTAAGCGACTGTTCTAAATTTGGGGCCTGCTTGACAAAGCCAGGTTAAGGGGGATTAAGCAACAAGCTCATCCTGTTTGACTTTCACACAGGTGCCTGCCGCTTCATTTTGCTCCAAATAATTCGGAAGGTTTTTTTTGGGAGCAATCGTGTTTGGATTTAGTGGGGGGTGGGGGGGGATAAAGTTCCTGCTGTCAGCAGCCTGGCTTTTGATGTCGTTTACTGAAAATTGTTTGGACTTTAGTAGCATTTTTGGGGGTTTGGAGCAGTCTTATGAACTGTTCTTCTATACTTCCTGACATTTTAGTTTTTTTAGTTTGTACCAAATGTTTGCTCTTTTCTATCACTGGTCTTCAAATGGCTTCATTGCTGTGTCATTTGAAAGAATTTATTTGATCTTTTTTTTAAAAGCACTGAACTGTCACATCAGTTTTGTCAGCATAGGACGGCCCTATTTCCTTCAGTTTTGAGCAAAATGACTGTAGGCAAAGAAATGTCATCAACAACACGACATGACAGAATATCCTGTTGTTTTGTTCCTATAGTTTGTATGAGAAAAGCAACAACAAAAAACTCAGGTTCAAATTAAATTCTATTTTTTTGGAGGTCACATGAGCCTGTGTGAGCGGTCACTGGACGGCCTGCAGCCGTCCATCAGCTGGACGCCCAGAGCCACAGTCACAAAGCAACATTTACATTTTTGGGCTGTGGAAGCAGAGAGTACAAGAGGGACCTTCAGAGAAAGCAGATATTTGAAGGAGAACTTTCTATTTTGGGTGGACAGCTCCGGATAAAAAGGGTATAACCCAGAAATGTTGTTTTTTCAGGATAGTTATTTTTCTGGCATAAAGTAGCCTTTTCTGTGATTCTTTTACACTGAAAGATTGTGTTTTTAAGTGATTATTTAATCAGATTTTTCCGTGTAAACCAGTCTGTTATACATTCAGTTTGTTTCATAAGATAAATGTTATGAAAAAGTTCATGTCACTATTTGGCCACACAAGTCTTTTACCACTCTGATAATAATCTTTAATCACTAACGCTAACGTGTGCTGCAGCCTAAACACTGACCTCACCACAGGTCACCCTATTATTTAAGAAAAAGAAAAAAAGCATCAGCCAGAAATGTGGTCTTATCTTTATATATACATAATTAGTCACCAATTACAATACACATATTCATATACTACAGAAACACAGATAATACAAGTACTCAATGTGTATTTTACTGTTAGTTTTTTTTCCTTTTTGAAATTTTTTCTCTACTTAACCTGCATGTTGAAGAGCCAATCGTGGGGTTTGTCTTCAAGCCTGGAGGACAAGTAGGAGCTGTCTCAGCCCCGTATGAACATCCATTTGAACAGTGCATAGGTCCAAATGTCGCCTCCCTGCTGAGGAACCCCAAAACAACGTCCATGTCCTGCCTCTTTTATCACAGCTCCTTTTGGTTTCTTCTCTTTAAAGAAGAAAGCTTCCCATTCATAACCGCAATAGCTGAGGAAACACTTGCTCCGGACCCCTGATCCACGGAGCTGTTTGTGTTTTTTCAGGGAGGCGGAGATGAACGGGAAGCTAACTTCTGGAGCTCTGGACTCACGCTCTTTCAAGTATGGCTGACAGAACTGCATTTATCCGCATCCTTCAGCAGAAGACAAACCCGCAGAGAGCCTTTAAATACAACATCGTTATTGCTTACAGATAAAAAGAAAAAGCTTTGTGTGTACATCGACACAGTGCAGATTCATGGATGGCGCAGTCGTTGGACGTTTGGGAGAGCGGAGACGGCCTTCCCATTAGGGGAGAACGGGGGGGGGGGGGGGGGCAGTGTGTGTCTTGAGCAGAGGTGGAGGGTTTTACCACGAGGTATGAGGGGAAACGCTTTTATTGCTCATCCAGTGACGATTTTTCTGTGAATTCAACACGAGGAGTGACCGCGATCTTTCTCAGGCTTTCTGTAAAGGCTTTGGTGAACACGACCGATCGTTATGTTGTGGTTCACGTTTCAACCCCCAGTGCGGCCGAGGACCTGCCGGAAACTACTGAAATAACCCCACATCCCAAAAAACTACGTCTGCACTACAGAAAAAGTGTGTTTTAAGTCGTCTCTGGATAGTTTACTGCTGCAGGCCGGAAGCTACCCGCCCCTAAAACCCATCCCAGTGGGACAACCAAAAAAGAGACAGCAGCTAAGGACGCTGACCGCTGGTCAACGTACGCCTTTAGATTGGGTCAGATATTTTAGACATGCAGACCACGGGGCTTTCAGACCTTGGTGGCCCCCATAACCCCCCCTACTGCGACCTGACCGGTGGCGTCTTTGGTTTTGAGTGATATATCTGGACAACTAATATATCAGTTGAACAGCTAAATTCCTTCATTATGATTGGAAAAAAAAGCTAATTTCCTGAACAGAGACAAAGTTATTCAGCATTCCGTTTCCATTGGACAAAATGAGAAGCCAAAACGTCTCAGTAAAAGGGCGTCACCACCTTTTGGGACTCTGTCTGAGGTCTTCACAGTGACCAGAGAGGGGGGGGCTGACGGGTTGAGCTCATGATTCCAGCCTAGCAACAGTATGAAGACACTCGGAACCGCAATTAGGCTGTCTCAGACTGTCAGGGGAACTCGCAGGAACCCGATCGTTTTCTGTAATTATACGTGACCACACTGCTGTCCAGCTGCATGTCCAAATTCTGGATTGGCCGGCAATTGGGAGGATGTCAATATCACACCTCAGCTAACAACTAGGAAGAGTCTCA